CCAGGAGGTTTCTAATCAAGTGACAAAGAGCAATTCAGAATGAGCCTGGGGGCGGGAGGAGGACAGCTGAAGATGCTTCTTCGTTATCGTAATGAGAGAATTAGGGCGCCTCCTGGCAAAGAGACGTAAGCTATGAGATCTTGGGCAGGGTAATCTCTCAGACCCAGGGCCATGACAGGATCTAAGTATGTGAAACACTTACCAAGTACTTGACCTGGTGCTTAGCCTAAAGCAAGTGGTAGACCTGGAGTTTGTTGAATACTTAAGATGAGATGAAAGAGGGTGAGGAACACCATCATTGTCCTGGACCTACAGGCCATACAGGCTGAGAAGAGGGAGTCACAAGGGGGGGCCTGGATTTAGAACGGCTTCCGGTGTTTAGTACTGTTGTTTTCATCTTCCACTAGTCACAGGCAGTTCTAGACAATAGGACAGATCGGTCAAGAACCCAGGATGGGGCAGGTGCAGCCTAGGAGAAAAGGCAACAGCCGGTAAAGCTGGCAAGACTGACAATGCCAGCAGGCCAGATGATGTTTGCTGGCAGATCCAGAACAGCCAGGGTGGGGCCAGGGCTCTCTCCATGGCTGCACACCAGTCCCCTGTGAACTGGACCTGGAGTGCTGGAGATGATGAATCCTGTGGGATTCAAGGTCAAGATCTTCCCAAATCCTCCAAGGCTAAGGCAGGCATTTATGGAATTGTTGCAGAGTGCCTTAATGTGTCACTGCTGGCTTACAAGTTTAACCCCATTGGCTTTTCCTCAGCCATTGCCTACCGCCTTCACCTGTCCTGGTCTCCAACTTTGATAAGCTTCCCTGCAGGGGACATAATGTGGACACAGATGGAGGGAGGCATTGGGGGAACATACTATGGAAATGGATGAATTAACTGATGCAGAAAAGAAGAAGGGAACGGTGTTGAGGGAAGGCCCTCCAGTTAGGCTTAAAAAATGAGCAAAGTTCTACCCTAAAAAAATAGGGTAAAGAACATTCTGTAAGGGGGAATCTTCAATGCAAGTGTCCTGAGACGGGTCCTTGCATCTGGACTGATGAGTCTTAGGGGAGGAGGAGAGTAGACCAAGGCAGCTTCCCATGCTTAGAAGTTGTTGGGTACCACTGAAGCCTTGTAACTGTACAATCTGTTAAATTCTGTTTATCATTTGATTTCTAATATTCAGAGATATTATATATATTTAAATATAAAATCTTCCCATGTTATTATATATGCATAAACACATATATACATATATGTGTATAGGAATCTATACACACACACACACACACACACACAATGGGAAGTTGGTCAGGTCACTTTTCCTTCACTTTCCTTAAAATAGGTATGAAAAATTGGGCGAGTGAGGTCTTAGTGACAAGAAGAGCGTCCTTTACGAAGTTGCCTTTGGTGCATGGAGATTACATCTGCCAGGTGTGATATCCAGAGAGTTAGAGATGACCCTGATGGAGAGCAGTTCTCTGCTTGAAGTAAAATGGATGATAATTAAAAGGTACAATATAGACAAATGGCTGTGAGCTAATCTCCATCTGCCTCAGTGTGCTAATATTAAAAGTCAGGGCTCTCAGGAGCAAGATTAAAGAAACAATAGCCAAGCCTATATCAAGTTCTCATTCCGATGAACTGTTTTCAGTTACATCTTAATGCTTTTTTTGTTCCCAGCAGGGTTGTGTCTCCTTTAAATTCACCTGCCCTGAGTAGAAAACTCAAGGAGATGCTTGTGGGTTTCCCTTACCTGCTTTGGCTCCCAGAGGTCAGGGCTCAGACCATCTGACCTCCCCACCCCACCCATATTCCTACCCCCACCCTCATGCTTTCCCTTATACCTACAGATGCTACATAGCACCTACTACCCTATGGCTGAGGTTCCAGAAAAATCTCTCTAGTGATATGATTGGTTCTTCAGTTTCTAAAAGACAGCAGATAAGATGCCAGTGCAATCCAGCCCTGGGCAGAGCGTCCTCCTCACTCCTCTGTTGGGACACAGTTTTATGTCCACCATGCAGTACTACTTTATAATTGACAAAACTATTGTCTTGTTTCTGAGCTTTTCCTCCCTCCTAAACCAGTTTTTCATTCCATATCCCTACCTTATTTTAAACCCTGTAAAGGTCTAAAAAACAAACAAAACTCTAGCACCCAAAAGAACAGAATGGGTTTCAGACACCTGTGAGCTGGTTTTCTTATATAAACACCCTGACATCCAAATGTCTACCATGAGGGATTATTTCCTTAGCCTTCCAGGCTTTCAAACAAACAAAAACAAAAACATGTTCATCCTAGAACCAGCAGCTTGTGAATTGGTTAATTAGATCTCTGAGGTGGGAATTTAGTTTTCAGGGACTGTTCATGAGATGATTGGAGACCAGTGTTAGTCGCCGAAGACTCTGGCGTCTGGCTTTGGAGAACCCTAGGAAAGAAGCAGGGAAATAACGGGAATGAAGGTGACATGCTTTATGGAAAACCGGTGCGATCACAGGCTCTGTCTGTTGTTTCTCCCTCCTCACCCACCCCCAACAGTTGTGTCTCCCACTCCACCCATCTCCTGCAATGCTATGGTACTTTGGTGCAGCTTCCGTGGCTCCACACAGACAATGACCCCCAAGACTTCAGCCCTAGCCTTTCTGTATGCAGTCCATTCTAGATGCCACTCACCAGCCACCTCTGTTCTCCAGTTCTATAGGACTGCTGGGCTCTGAGTCCCTTGTCTGGATGCCTGAACCCCACATTCTTAACTTACCCTCTTGCTTCTAGGAGGTACTCACATCTTGCTGAACTCTGCCCTCCCTTGCTCTGTCTTGATAAGTCACTCAGCTCTGCCCTTCGTTCCCAGTCTTGCGTGGCCCATCCATGCCTCCCTGTGCCATCCTGCATATCAAATAAGGGTGGAGTCTTTACTGTCACCTGCTACTAAGATGACTCCTGTGCATTAGCGATCCCCAGTCTGGCCCTGCTTGGTCCTTGCATCTTTTCTTCTAAGATGTTGAAGAAAGATGTAGTGTCTTTCATGGTCCCTTAAATGGGACCTATTTACAAGGAATTGTGGATTTGGGTTAAATTACTTATCCAAGGTTCATTCAGTAAGTAACCAGAGAACTGGGAGTTCAACCCAGGCATCTCTGACTCTTGAACCTAAATTACTTTGTTACCATGCTCTGCCACTTTGTAGACTCCAGGAGATGCCAGTAACTGGAGCATCAGTATTGCCTAGGCATGGGTGGAAATACAGCATCTCCGGCCCCACCGAGCTCATGTGTACTCTCCTGCTCCCAGCCCTATCTCTTTGCACCTTCCCTTCCCACCATGCTTTGAGTGTTTCTAGCTTGGTAATTATGTAACCTGAGCAGCCCTGGCACAGTTGTGTGTGTGGTCTCTGAAGCTACATTTTGGCGAACTAAATTCCAGTTGGCCATATATTACCACTGTGAAGCTCCAGGCAGGTCATTTAACCTCATCATGTCTCAGCTTCCTTATCTGTAAAGCAGGGATAAATATAATACTCATTCACCCCTTGGAGTTGTTCTAGAGATTTAACAAGCTGTCATACATGCTACCTGGGCATCTGGAGAAAGTGTCCAAAAAGCTTGACCAGACAGATGAAAGTATAGCCTATAGCTTTAAACCATGGGCTTTGAGACCCTGAGAGTGAATGCATCCCCTTGGAAAATGTCCCACCATAAATAATCCTGGGTGCCAACGAGGCATGCCCCTAAATGCTTTCACCAAGGAAGGAGCAAGGAGGAAAAGCCAACACAAACCCAGGAAATGTCTGGTGGCCAGAAGAGCCTGGGGGCGTGGGGGCTAAGAACCATGTAGGGGTGGAGTTCACAACCAGGTCCCTGCCACCCTGCCCCAGGCTGCCTTGCATTTCTTCAAGTTCACATCTATACCCAAATCATGAAGTCTGAAGCCCAAACCATGGCTGTCCCCTTCTGGCTGGATGCCACCCAGACTTCCTAGTCAGAGGTTCCCTCAGTTTCTCCCGATGTCCCAAGCAGGGTTCTTTGTGTGGTGGAGGATTTCCCACCAAAGCAACCCATTCTTTTTTCAGTGACCCCTAATCTTCCAAGCAAACATTTGCCTTTCAAGTAGAAGGCCAGTGCAAACAACTCATCTGTAATTGGTGGGTGGAGAGGGCATTTGAAGCCCTGATGGGCTCCTCTGTGATACCTTCACCCCTCCACTTTCTACCCACCCCCATTCTCTCCGCATAAGGGAGCCGGGATGCAGCAGAGGATGGTCCTGCCTGGGATAAGGCTAAAGAGAGCAGTTTCTAAATGTGTCCATTTCCTTGATCCACTAAGTCACTTTACCAGTTTGTTTTATTGTTGATTTCTGGCCACCACTCGTTTCCCAGCATCAGAGATTCTAAACAGAGCCATTTGGGGCTTCTCAGTGGAATACATTGTTCTTGGTTTTTCTGTTTGGTTAGGGGACCGTGGAAGGGCTGGCATAAGAACTAGCTCCAGCTCTTCTACTCAGTTTCAAATACCACAGACAAGAGTCTTGGGAATTCACTGTTAATAGTTGATGATCCTGTTCATTTATTCCTGTGCCACAACCACTCTGCAGAGGGTGTGGTACAGGAAAGGACACTGGAGGAAACTGAGGCTCAGGAAATAGGGAGGTTGGGAGCCAGTGAGGGCAGGAGGAGCAGCCACCCCCCCCCCCCAACCTGGCCTTTGTCTTCCCCGGCATTTTAGACTCATGGGCTTCAGGGTAGGTTTTATAGTCTGATCTGATAGCACAGCAGCACCTGATGTCACATGGGGTCTTACCCTCTGAACATTCTCCTGGGGTCTGGCTTCCTCCCCTCAATGCCCCACTCTACCCAATCCCTAAACCAAAAACACAAGCAAAGACCAGCGCCTTGACATGTGGAAATCAGTGGGGGACTCCTTAGTTTCTTTCCTCATAGGTGCTGGATCCCCAGTCTCTGCAGCCTCATGAGAAGGCTTCATTTCTAGGTTTTTCTTTTTCCATTCCAGGTGTGTGCGGCTGCTGCGGCGCCCTTCGTCCTAGGTACAAGAGGCTGGTGGACAATATCTTCCCTGAAGATCCTGAGGTGGGTCACATTAAGGGTTATGTGGGCTGATGACTGGGGAAGGGCCTTGGGGCAGTGGCGCTTCCCATTCCACAGCCTGGGAATGGTGAGTGGCACTGTCCCAAGGAGAATGAGGACATTTCATTCTTCTTAAGGCTGGGTGTGCAGAAGGCTGTTAGGAATGTGTTGGGCTGTTGCTGTATGGCTGACACATTTTTCTCACTCCTGTCTCAGCTGCTCAATCTCCTGATGGAAATGTTTTCCTGTCAGTTAGAGAAGACGGGCCCCTGCCTAGCATTTGGCTCGGGAACCCATGTCTCTCCCCAGCTCCCTCTGGCATCTGTCAGGTGTCTGACTGTGCATTGCACAGAGGCCTGGCTCCATGGCTTCCAAGCTGTCACTCTGTGTGTCACACTATGTTATGCATTGTGGTCTGAGGATGTCAGGATTTGATGCATTTGCCTTGATATTTGAGAATTGCTGGCCTCTTCTGGATGGGCAGCTGGAGGATCCCATTTCCATTATCCTCTGGAGAATTCCCCAGGAGCTGTAGAATCATCTTCTTTATGTCTTGGTCTATCTATACCCCTTAATATACTATATATGTCTTTATGTCTTGGACTATCTATACCCCTTAATTCTGAGTTACTTTTAATGATGCCTTGTCCTTCATCTACACCGGTGTGTGTCTCTATACCCACGTGTATATTATATATTATATATATATACATACATATGTATACACTATTATTATATTATTATTATATATGTGTACATATATATACATTAATGCACATACATATATACACAGACACACAGACATACCTCTGTCGATATTTGTGTGTATGTGGTATGTGTATGTGTGTGTAAGTGCATATGTGTGCTGGTCCACTTGTCTGTGCATGCATGTATGGAGGTCAGAGATTGATGTCAAGTACCTTCATCACCGTCCACCATGTTTTTTGGGACAAGTCTCTCATTGAACCTAGTGCTTGCTGTTGTGGTTAAACTGGGGCCAGTGAGCCTTGGGGAGCTCCCTGTTTGTGAGCCCACCCAGTTCCTAGGGAGCTTTTAGGCTACAAGAGCTGCTGTGTGCAGCTTTCACATGGTTCTAAAAAAAATCTAAATTTGTAATCTTTCAGATTAGGGTCTAAATTCAGACCCTAGTGCTCGCACAGCAAGCACTATGCTCCATGCTTGGAGGACATAAAGGCTGTTTTCTTTGTTTCCATGTTCCTGATGTCCAGCACCTGTATAATAGACACCCTACAAACATTAGCTTAGTTGAATTGGTATTCTTGTTCCACTGTATTGGGGTCACAGTGATTTGGAGCTGTCTGTCTTTTACAGGATGGTCTGGTGAAGACCAACATGGAGAAGCTGACCTTTTACGCCCTCTCAGCTCCGGAAAAATTGGATCGCATTGGTGCCTACCTCTCAGAGAGGCTCATCCGAGACGTAGGGCGCCATCGCTATGGGTAAGTCATGTACGTAGGAACAAGATGGGTTTTCAGAAATTGCATTTTATTTTTAGGGCAAAATGGTGCGAAGACATATCAAGGAAAAAGAGTATGGGGTGAATTATTGGATAGACTGATGAAGGCTAGACTGGGACCCAGGAGGGTGAGCTTACACATGCTCCTCTGGAGGTGGGTGAAGGTGGGTGAGGTTGTGGACATTTGTGGAGAGGGCATGCTGGCTTCAAAGGAGAAGCAGTTTGGCATCCATCGAGACATCATGTGTTCACAAAGAACTTACACAGCCAGTCTGCCTCACAATGTGTTTATTCTCACCAATCTGGCTCCCCTCCCCCCCCATCTGAGAAAGTGAGGTGGAGCCATCCGTATTCTGAGAAGGTGAGGTTGGGCTGGTTTGTCCTCTCAGAAAACACACTTTAGGGATAGGGCTGGAATGTAGCTGTGAGTGTCGGCCTGGCTTCCATCTCTAATGCCACATGAACCAGCCCCAGTGGAGCACACCTGTGATCCCAGCACTCAGGAGGTGGAGGCAGGAGGATCAAGAGTTCAAGTTCATCCCCAGCATCACAGCAAGGCTAGCCTAGGAAATGTGAGTGGCCATCTCAAAACAAGACAAAAATACACTTTAGTGAAATATTTATCATCTGAGAGGAAAGGACTTCATGTGTTTAACAGAGAGGACTCTTAAAGTGATCAATACACTTAGCTGTTTAATTCTTGATGTTGATTTTATTTTAAGGTTTTTATTTATTTATTCTTTTCAACACAGGACTTCTTTGTGTAGCCCTGGCTGTCCTGGAACTCACTCTGTAGACTCTGTAGACCAGGCTGACCTTTAATTCACTGAGATCCACCTGCCTCTGCCTCCTGAGTGCTGGGATCAAAGGAGTACGCCACCATCACTCGGCCGAAACCATCAGATTTTTAAAACTGAACACCAAAGATAAATATTAACAACAAATAAGATGAAGGATTCAAGGTTGCACATTAGTAACATCGAACAAATAGTTGTGGGGTCAAGAGAGTGACAATCGGAGAAAAGATTACAAAGGGTCTACTCGGAAGGACGGCTCACCCAGACAACATTCAGACTTACCGTCCACGCCCAAATACTGGATCATCCTATCACATTAGCATTTTCTAAAAGTAAATATTCCAGTACTAACCAGGAAACAGGGTGGGGGGAGGCATTTTTTATACTTTCCTGGAAAGAGAACAAATTGGTTGAAATTTTCTAGGTCTAGCTCTTCAAAACTACTTCTATTTCTGCCCTTTAGCCCTTTTCTGTCCATGGCTTCCCAAGGAAACCATCTCAGAACCTCTACCTCACACACAAAGAAGGGTTTTTCTTGCAGTGTTTTCTGACCGCCTCAAAAAACCAAAACCAACCCAATAAAGTCTCAAGTTGCCCAGGATGCCTTCAAACTGGCTACGTAGCAGAGGGTGACCTGGGAGTCTTGCTCCTCTTGACTCCACCTCATAGGTACTGGGATACAAACGTGGGGCGCTATGCCCAGACCATAGTGCTTTTTATAACAATGGAACACTAGAAACAGCTTCAGTGCCTGGCAAAAGAAAACTCAGTAAGTTATGGCTTGTATCGTTTGAGAAGATGCTAGCTAGGTAATAGAAATGGTGTTTATAAAGATCATATCTAATGATCTTAAAAGTACAAAAACTTAGAGTATAATGGCCACACACAAAGTATTTAGGTTAAAAATATATATATCAACAAACCTCAGTGGCTAAAAAATAAAGTCCAAATGCCATCGTATTCAGAGCATTCATTCTGGGAGTGGCACAGTTGGGAGACTTTTGTTTGTTTGTTTCATTGTGGTTTTTGTTCCCTAAACATTGACTATTGGGCATGCATTACTTCATGCTTGCTGATGCCCTGCCGTGATGACACAACTCATAGACCAAATAGCTAACCCCGAGAAGCCTCGGCAGTGTTTTTCCTGGGGCAGAGGGTTGAGTACAGGATGGGCAGCCATGGTTCCTAATCCTGTGGATCCCACTCTGCTCAAGTCTTTCTCTCCATCTTCCTCTTTCCACTACTCCTGACATTTTCTTTTCTTTTCTTTTTTCTTTTGGGGGTAGTGGTGAGAAGGGAGACAGGGTCTCATATATCCAAGGCTGGCCTTGAACTCAGTATAGCTAAGGATGAACTTGAACTTCTAACTCTCCTGCCTTTAGCTCTCCAGTGCTGGGGCTATAGGCATGCTCCACCACACCAGGTTTTTGTGGTTCTGAAGACCAAATGCAGGTCCGTCCATGCTAGACCAATGAACTACGTCCTCAGCCCTGCTCCTGCGCCCTTCTCTTGGTTCAGGCTTTTAATCTGTTAATTCAGAAGATTACACTAGGGGACCTGTCTGCCTGCTGTCAATGTTCCTGTTTGGTCTTCCCAGGCCAATATATAATAATATAATATACATGCTCTTCAACTCAAAGGCTAGAATCTTTAGTCTTTAGAATCAACTCCAGAGCTGGGCAATAGTGGTGCACACCTTTAATCCCAGCAGTCTGGAGGCAGAGACAGGCAGATCTCTGAGTTTGAGGCCAACATGGTCTACAGAGTGAGAGCCAGGACAGCCAGGACTACATAGTGAGACCCTATCTTGAAAAACCAAAAACCAGAAACAAACAAACAAAAATAGAAACAAAAAACCTCCAGGCTTCTCAAACTTCTAGGGTCTTCTACCACTCAGCCATGCCCACCACGCCTATTATATAACCAATACCAGGCAGACTGTTTGAACAGTCCTGAGGTTGAGAAACCAAGGCTCATCAGTAAATGTTGGGGTGAGGGAGAACGTGGGGTATCACACCAAGGCTTTGTGAATACTAAGGATGCCTGCTACCCGAAGCTCTGGCAAATCTTAAACTAGGCTACCCTTTATGTGAAAACAAAACGTGAACTAATGTTTCCATGATCATTCTCTATATATTAAAAGTAGGTTGTCACTCAAGAAGAGGAGGAACATGAATTCTTTGCATATACTGATTATATGAAGAGTCTTGACGTATGATAGTACATATTCAAGCAAGTAAAAAATGGCTTTCTCCTAGACTGAACCAACAGCCAATGTGCCAGCGATAACATTAAACATTTAATACCAATTCCGCCAGAGCCTCTGCAGTGATGTTTCTTGTGATTAAAAATGCCCATAGCTGACAGCCTCTTCAAATCCTTCCTCTGCTCATGGAATGACAATTCAAAATTGGCATCATCCTGTTAAAAATAGCCCTTGCAACATCTAGGTATTTAAAGCCTGTAGGAGGACTTTGATCATTATTATTGGGAGAAATGTCTGTTAGAATCTTTTTTTTCTCCTGTATCTCCCTGCCCAACACCCTGGCCTCCTTCTTGCCGTGGGTAGGGGCCTGAGAAGAGCAGCATTTTCACGTCAGAGAGTGAGAGGAGCTGTGTCTTCCTAGCATGATAAGGGTGTCTATTATGGTTTGGTCCTGGCAATGTGGACCCTGGATATGGGTCCCAGTGAGCCCAGAGCCACTTTCTCATGGCCACTGTCTTCCTGCATTGTCACTCTGTCACTCCACACAGGGTCCTGACTCAGCTAAGAATGTCAGCTGTGAGCAGGGAGAAGATGGGGGAATGTCAAGGTGTTTGGTATAAAGGTTGGTGATATGCAAAGGAGCAAAACCCCAGCCAGCATTTCCTAAGTTCTCTACTTTCCCCATTCTCTTTCCTGATCAGCCCAGCATCCCTAGAAACAGGGGGACAGGGGAGGGAATGACAGTGCTAAGACAGGGGCACCAGGTGTGCAACATACCACGTTAGACCGTCTCTGGGGTCTCCAGCGTCTGCAGTTCTGCCCTAGCCTGGGACTGAGCACCGAGGATGCCGATGAGGAGGTGGAGCTGCTTCATCCTGAGAAGCCTGACCCCAGCTGACCCAGCACAGCTCCCTAGGAAGATCTGAGGCTGGTGGGAGCGTGTGGGTTGACTCCTCAGAAAGTGCACTGCAGACTCCTGCCTAGGTGGGGCAGGCCGGCCCGCTCTTCCTTAGCTGGAGCCAAAACTATCTTCCCTACTCCCAGGTTTCTAAAAAAACTCAGTTCAATTCAGGAATGGGCTGACTAAATATACACAGAATGCCCAGAATAACAGGCCCTTTATCCAGGATTCTGTCTGACCTTTGAAGGATGATCTGAGTCCCTGACCCCATGTCCATCTTGTCCCTCCATCTGGGTGGGGCTCCTAGCCTACTCTTCCCACACTTCTCCTTGCCCTGCAGACCTTTCCCTGGGTTCTCTGGCTACTTCTGACCTGGAACAAGGTGTCTAGGCAAAACCAAGAGAACTTCATGGAGGGACTTCTCAGCTGGCTTGTAGGCATCAGGCCCCCTGGGTATTTTCCTCTGTGGCTGTCATTCACCTTCTTCCGATTGTAACCTGCCCAGAGTCCTCCCCTGCTTCCCGAGATTCCCAGGCTGTTCCAGGTCACTTGTGTCCTGGCCTCTTCATCTTCCATGTGGGAAATCCATCCTAGCCCACTCTGCTCCAAGTATCCACATGGACTTGGACCTGTTATTACTCTGGACCCCTTGAATGAGGAATTCAGGTCTTTGATAGTGGTAACCTTGTCATGGGAAACCTGTTGATGGATAGTAACCCCCAAATTCCATGCTCTGTACTAAGAGCATAGGTCTGACAGGCAGGGCACATACGGGAAGGTGGTGATAACATAGGACAAATGCCAGGTGGTGGTGATGTACTCGGGAGGCAGAGGCAGGCAAATCTCTGTGAGTTCAAGGGCAGCCTGATCTACAGAGTGAATTCCAGGACAGGCTCTAAAGCTACAGAGAAACCCAGTCATGAAAAACAAAAGTCAGAGTACAAACACTGAGATCATTTGGGGGTGGTGTCCAAATTCAAGTTCATAATTAAAACTGTTCCATTCTTGGCATTGGGATCAGAAATAAAGCATCAAGGGTAGCATGTTTAGGGAAATAAGCCCTATGTTTCTTTATTTCTTTACATTTCTATTTCAATTCTACTGTGATTTTTTTCACTTTATACCAAAATCACTAGTCTTAGTCAAATAAAGAATAGATTTTTTTCTTTCTTATCAGAATATTCTAGATGTTCTTCTCCCATCCTGAGAAAGCAATGATGTTCTAGGACTTGGGAGGCCTTCTAGTTTCTTCTCTTGCCTCCCACCCACCCCTTCCTTTATTTATTTCATTTAAATTTTATTATAAGAAAGATGCCAGCAGAAAAATGCTGGCATGATCCATTAAAAAAAGGGGGAGGGTTCTCTTTGCCTACCATTGTTTTCTAACCATTGTTGGGTGACTTGACCATGTCCAGGTGTCCCTACAGGAAGCCTCCTCTAACCCCTGGTGCTTGTCCTCTCTGGCCTGTCCCTTCCGGCAGGGGCCTCATCCAGTCAGCCAGTTTTTCTTTTCCATCTGGGGTGACTTGGCCTCTCTGAAATGCCAGGCCTGCAGGAAGTGTCTTAGCTGTGACTATGCCAGTCTGTGGAGGCCAAGGTTGTGGAGGATGGGGCATGTCTATCCCGGGTAGGAGAAATGCCAAGCCAGGGCTCCCACTCAAATGAATTCTAAGAGCCAATGCTCCTTTGTGTTCCAAAGGCACCACGGAGGGCTGGGGCTGTAGCTCATTGATAGTGTGCTTAACAAGGATGTGCAAAGCCCTGGCTTCCACCCTAACCCTCAAGAGAAATGACTTTATAGATAAAAGGATGACATGATCCATTTTTTTAGTATATTCCGAAATGACTATTTCATAATACTTAATAATTGAATTTAGTAATATTTAAGGATTTAATATTTAGCTCAGCTCATTGAGATTAAAGAAATAAATTTTATAAAAAGTGGAAAAGATTTCAAAATATAAAGGTTTTTTAAAATGACTATTTAGTACAGAAGTAAGCGCAAGGATGTTTAAGAATTGGTGTTCAATGGCTGTTTTTTGGGGGGGCACAAGGGGGTGGTTGTTTTCTCTGTGTTGCTTTGGAGCCTGTCCTGGAACTAGCTCTGTAGACCAGGCTGACCTCAAACTCACAGAGATCTGCCTGACTCTGCCTCCCGAGTGCTGGGATTAAAGGTGTGTGCCACCAACGCCCAGCTTCCATGGGTGTTTTAAAACCAAGTTTAAGGTCTGGAGAGATGGTGCAGTAGGTAAGAGCACTGGCTGCTCTTCTAAATGACCTAGGTTTGATTTCCAGCACCCACAGGGCCGCTCACAACCATCTGTAATGGCGTTTCTAGGGGACCTGATGCCCTCTTCTAGCCTCCACAGGCACCAGACACACACAAGGTGCACAGACATGCATATTAGCAAAATATTCATTTGCATAAAATAAATAAATCTTTAAAAATAAAAAAACATACTGTTAGGGCCTGAATGAGGACAGGTGGTCCCTCTTAGACATTTGTTTTATTGACCCAAACTGTTTTCTTTTTTAAGACCAAAAAAAACAAAACAAAACAAAAAAAAAAACCAAAAAAACAAAAACAAAAAAAAAAATTCAAGAGTTTATAAATATCCACCTGACCGCTGGGCTCATTCTTGTTGTATATGTAGTATATATGTATATGTAGTTGTATATGTATACGGGAACTTGACTGGGAAGCCTTAACGTCTTTAAGCACCCCTCGCAGCTCCGTGTCACCCTGACTCCCAGTTCCGGGCTGGAGTGAACACTTGTTAGAAACACGGTACAGATAGAGGCATCGCCTTCCCGGGATCCCACCCTAGCCAGGTGTGACCGTGGGAGAGAGCAAGGCCCCGTGAAGCCACTATGCCTCTGTCTGCAGGTACGTGTGCATCGCCATGGAGGCGCTGGACCAGCTGCTCATGGCCTGCCACTGTCAGAGCATCAACCTCTTCGTGGAAAGCTTCCTGAAAATGGTGGCCAAGCTGCTGGAGTCGGAGAAGCCCAACCTGCAGATCCTCGGCACCAACTCAGTAAGGGCGGGGCTGGGAATTCGCTGCTTGGGATGGTTAGAAGACCTCTGGATCAGGCATTTCTGACTCTAAGCCAGTGGTCCTCAACTTTCCTAATGCTGCAACTCTCGAATACAGTTTCTCACGCTGTGGTGACCCCACAGCCAAAAAGTTATTTCATTTCTACTTCATAACTATAAATTTGCTACTGTTATGAATTGTAAACATCTGATATGCAGATATCTGATATGGGGCCCCCAAAGGAGTCTCCATAGATTGAGAACCACTGCCCTAAGCACAGTATACCTCTTGTCTTGTGTCTGTCTTTGTGTGAGCAAAGAGGCGTTGTGTTTTTAATTTCAGTAAATATACTATTTATATAAGATCTCTAGCTCTAGGGAGATCTGACAACTCTGAACTCCTCAGGCACCTGCCCTCATGTACACAGACCCACACATATGTGCACATAATATAATAATTCTCAAAAGTAAAATCCATGGGCTGGGTATGATGGCACACACCTTTCATCCTAGCTTGGGGGAGGGGCAAGGCAGGTGGATCTGTGTGAGTTCAAGGCCAGACAAAGCTACATAATGAAACTCACATCTCAAATAAGGCCCTGCTCTTTAAACTGATGACTAATTTTTCCCCTAATAAATTGTCCTCATAAGTAATTTTCAGAGAAGGCCCAAGAAGTAGGAAGTGAGGCCTGAACCTGGGTCATTCTGTGGAGAGTGGAGGTGCCCCGGGCCCTTGCGACTCCGACTCGGCGTTCCATGGGACATTACATGTTTTTTTAGAGATTAAAGCACACAGATGAAGGCCCCAGAGAAGTGGAGACTGGGGAATCGAGAAGTCGACTGTGGATTTAAGTCTGCCCTCTCCCCAGTGGCTGATTTTTGTGGCTCTAGTGAGCTGGAGTTGGTCTCTGTGGCTCCCCTGGGCTCTGTTTCTGGTTACAGTGCAAGCGGATGCTACCATGACATGTTATGTGTTACGACGGAAGTGGTAGTGGGCCTGCTAAGAGGTCCCACTGTAATGTGTGTGTCTAAATACTCTGCAGTGTTGTGGCTGCTCTCTGTACTCTCTTGCCTCTTGTCTTAGGCCCTCCCCTTAAAGCATACTTTCAGCTCCAGGACTTTAAGCCGCTTAGATGCCACTATTTTATAGCTTTAGTGAGTCCTTTATCTTTCTTCAGAGAGAATAGAAAGTAGCAGGATTTTCCCTTGGTGTTCCCAGCTAGGTGTTTCTGAGTATTTCTTTAATTTCTTTATATTTGATTTCCTTGGTATGTATGTGGGCATGAACTTGCCATAGTGACCATTCAAAGTCAGAGGACAGATCACAAAAATTAGTTCTCTTTTTAACACCTTCTTGGTCTCTGGGGTTTGTACTCAGGTCATCAGACTTGGCAGCAAGCCCCTGTCCCCCTACTGACCCATCTTGCTAGCCCTATTCCTGAATTTTTAATAATACCAGTCATGACTTTTCTCCTGCCCTATGGAAGCGTGGCTTTAACTAGAAGAAAGTAAGTTTTCTTCAAATGACTCAGTGTGACAACCTTCCCTTCCCCTCCCTTCCCCTCCCTTCCCCTTCCCTTCTCACCAGCTGCCTTTGACAAATTACATATACAGCAGCTAAGGGTGAAGCCCCTTGTCATGTTGCCATAACAACAGCTTCATGTATCCTTTTAGTTGTCTTGTTTAAGATAACTACAGTCTGGGAAAGAGCATCTGCATGGAAAATAAACTAGTTACCTGGATCCACAGAGGCAGGTAGCCAACAGCTCTTGTTTTTCTCAAAGTGAATGCTAGTCCAGGACAGGTATTTATTATCTATAGCCTTGAAAATGCCACCTTCTCCTGGATTCAACATACCCAGTGACTCAGCATCTTAGCCAGGGAGCAGGCTGCCAAATGACATGACGGCTGTACTATGGCCATGAAGATTAGCAGGGTGGCAACCCTAAGGAGTTGAGTTGAACCTGCAGTGGGCTGGGATTCCAACATGGAGGCAGTCTTTCCTAACATTGCCCTTCATTTGGATGCCCTGGCCAGCTGTCTATGCCAAGGACCCCCAGAAAAGCCCTGGTTCACATCATTTTAGGCTTGCAGGTCATCATCATCATGCCTGCTTTGCTCTGCCTTGGGACATTTAGCCCAGGAGTGTCAACATTGTGGGAGCTGAGGAGGCTGGAGGGGAAGGAAGGCGAGGTTGTGGTTCCTTCTTTACCCTGCATCCAACTCTTTCAACTGTGTATTATAGTGTCTCTGAAGCATTTTTAACATAGATAAGGTTTTGCTGCCAGCAGAAGAAAAGAGGAATCAGATGTGGTAGGAAGCACCTGTGCTCGCAGTACTCGGGGTCATGGGAGGAGGATCTTGGGTTTGAGCACAGCCTATGCTAGGTAGTATTCTACATGACAAAATGGAACAATAACTAGATAGATAGATAGATAGATAGATAGATAGACAGACAGACAGACAGACAGACAGACAGACAGCAGAAGATGCTATGAAAGTCAAAGCAAACAGTATTGGTTGTAAAGTCTGTCTAGTTGGATGGTCTTGGTGAGGCAAAGAGGAGGTGAAGGAAGCAAAAAGACTAGCCGTCCCCAGGCTGCAGGGGAGGTGAGGTCCTGCCTCTGCCCTCCTCCCCCCCCCCCAATTGTGCTTTTATGACTACAGAAAGTTACTCAGTGCCTTCTGTAGGTGGGGGAAGGCTAGCTCTGCTTGGAGACACTTTGTTGGTGCCAAAGTGAGCCCAGCAAGACTCAAATTCCCTTTCCGGGCCAGGGGAGAGCTGTTTGTGCAGTGTCACTATTTGCAGGAGACGCTCCCTTTCTTCCTCACGCCCTTAATCACCCTCAGCTTTCCACACACATTTGTGAGAGGCATTGTGAGGGCTGGTGAGCCTCTCCTGCGAGCTTGGTGCCCTTTGTTACATAGAAAGACCAGGAACTTTGACCTTGAAAGGGTGGCCCTAGCAGTGTGCTCCTGGCCTTTGAAATGTCATGTGTTCAGAATCCTCAGTGTGTTGTCATGGAGACCTTCATCATGGCTATGTTTTGAAAAAGAAACAAAATTTCGCCTTTATTCTTTCATGACTTCATACATTAAGTACTAGCATTTTAATAAAAAACATGACAGGCTGGAGAGATTGCTCAGTGGTTAAGAGCACAGATAGATAGCTCTTCCAGAGCATCCACATTAGGATGTTCACAACCTCTTAAAACTTCAGCACCAGGAGGTCTGATGCCCTCTGCTGGCCACCTCAGGCACCTGCATCCATGCGTATGTCTGCACACAGACATACAAACACATAAATACAGAATAAAAATAAATTTTTTTTTTAAAAAAAGGTAACAGGCATGATGGGTGGTTATTCTGGTCATAGCATGCATATAAGCCAGTATTCATTAACTTCATTCTACAGGTGGAACAATTGAGGCCAAGGGAGCTTAAGTGACTACTGCAGGATACCCTACTACTACCTGAAGGAGTTAGAATTCGAATGTATAGTTGGGCTCCAATCCCATCCTCAAAATACTAATGGGGGTACCAGGTACAGTGGCACATGTTTGTATTCCTAGCACTTAAGAGGTAGGGGAAGGAGAATCATTAATTTTAAGCTATTTTGAGCAGCAAAGCAAGACCTTGGTTTTGGCGGGTGGTGGGGTGGGTTGATTTGTTGGTTGGTTGTTTTGTTTTGTTTTGTTTTGCCAAATAAACAACAACCCAAAAAAAGCACAGAAGGCTGGGCAGGCTACAGACCAGTGCAGAGAGCTTGTTTGGTGTGCAGAAGGAGCTGGGCTTGTTCCTCGGCACCTGCAAAAGCAAAGGAGGAAGAGGAGGAGGGAAAGAGCTCTGTGGTGGTTTGAGTGAGCATGGCTCCCGCCGACTCATAGGAAGTGGACTCATTGGAGTAGGTGTGGTCTTATTGAAGGAAGGCTGTCACTGGGGGTGGGCTTTGAGGTTTCAGAAGCTCAAGCCAGGCCCAGTGTTACTCTCCTCCTGCTGCCTGCTGTGTCCAGAGCTTTGCCAACTGCCACTTTATAAGGAAACAGGGCATCTACAGCTGTGTGTAACTCAGGGGTCTGGAGATTGTGTGCTGCATTTTCTGGACTCAGGGCTAGAGCAGTTCTAAAGGCTGTCATTCACATCTTGTAAGAGAAGGAGAAGGATGCACCATGAGAGAAGGCAGGGCAAGACGGGCATCACTAGTCCTTGAAGGCAACACAGTGTGAGTGCAAGTGCACAGGGCATTATTTAATGTGTTTCTCAGAGCACACTGGCATCAATGACTCTTTTGCCTCTGGCCTCCCCATCAGCACCCGACTGATGAGGCACTGAAGGCAGGTATAGTGGTTCATACCTGTAGTCTCAGAACTTGTAGTCTGAAGCAGGAGGATTGTGAGTTCAAGGTAAGCCTGGACAATATAGCAAGACCTCTCCTGGGGTGAAAGGGGAAAAAAAAAAGTTGGCATGGCTGACCTGGCCGCTTGTGATGGAAACTCCTGTATCTAAATAGCTTCCTCAAGGATGCCCCTGCCACCAAGACCGGGTTTCACTGTGTTGTATAGCCCTGGCTGTTCTGAATCTCACTGTGTAGACCAGGCTGGCCTCCTGATCACAGAGATCTACCTGTGCCTCCCAAATGCTGGGATTAAAGACGTGGACCACGACCACCTGACTTTCTCAAGGACTATTACTTCTTGGTGCCTATTGAATACATGAAAGCTCGCAGCTGAGAAAGGTATAAGTTAAGCAGAAGCAAACAAGCTTTATGACCAGTCTACCTGAAGTTTGTTTTTCTGACCAAGTGGGATAGGGCAATGCACATAGTCCTGGGTGCATTTCCAGTGGAGTTCTGTTTTCTGAGTGACATGTGGAGTGCTATTTTCCTGTGGTGCATGGAATATGTCTGTATCATCCCTATGAGCCACTCCCTGGGACCACAGAGCTGAATCCTGTAGAGACCAGGAAAGTTAATCCCAGAATAAGTGATAGCATGCGTTACACTGCAGCAGTCTTGGATTCTCTTTAAAATACATATATTTGTGTGTGTGTGTACATGTGTATAAACATATGTACATGTGTATATACATACATATGCATGTATACACATACATTATATATGTATGTAAATTTAACCAACCAATATTTAAGAAATTATATAATGTCATATTAGGCTTTCTTTCTGAAACTGGGTCTTACATTTGCTATGTGGCTGAGGATGTCTGTAAACTTCTGATCCTCCTGCCTCCACTTCCCAAATTAGAGAGCTGTGCTGCCACAATCAGTTCATCCCATTCTGGGATTAACTGCTAAGTAAGCACCCTGTCAATTGAGCTATATCTCCACCCATTAATCTAATCTTCTTTTAGAGATGTTTGGGGATACTAACAAAACATCAGCAAAATAAATTATATTAGTTTTTAGCCGTTTATTTTGTATGCCACGCTTGCTTTTCTGAGGGATGAGATTGAAATGAATTCTCTTTAGAACAGGAAATGCATAGTGCAATACAATCCAGCAGTTGGGAATACTGCTGAAGAGAGCTAAAGTTGGGCATGGGGCATGCACCTGTAATCCTAACAGCTGGGAGGTAAAGGTAGGAGGACCAAGTTCAAGGCCAACATCTGCTACTGAGATCTTGTCTCTCAGAGAAAGGGGGGGAGGGAGATAACCAAAATTGCAAACTTTTTTTAAAATTTAAATTTGAAATAAGCTTGTTTTACATGTCAATCCCAATTCCCTCACCCTCTCCATTCCCCCAACCCCCATCCCATCCCCTTTCTGCTCCCCAGGGAGGGTGAGGCCTTCTATGAGAGATCTTCAAAGTCTTTCATATCATTTGGAGCAGGGCCTAGGCCCTCCGCCATGTGTCTAGGCTGAGAGAGTATCCCTCTATGTGGAATGGGCTCCCGAAGTCCATTCGTATACTAGGGCTAAATACTGATCCACTACCAGAGGCCCCATAGACTGCCCAGACCTCCTAACTGACACCCATGTTTAGGGGGTCTGGGTTGGTCCTATGCTGGTTTTCCAGCTATCAGTCTGGGGTCCATGAGCTCCCCCTGTTCAGGTCAGCTGTCTCTATGGGTTTCTCGAGCCTGGTCTTGACCTCTTTGCTCACCACTTCTCTGCAACTGGATTCCAGGAATTTGGCTCAGTGTTTAGCTGTGGGTATCAGCTTCTGCTTCCATCAGCTACTAGATGAAGGTTCTGGGATGGCACATAAGGTAGTTACCAATCTCAGTATCAGGGAAGGACATTTAAGGTAGCCTCTCCACTATTGCTCAGATTGTTAGTTGGGATTATCGTGGATCTCTGAACATTTCCCTAGTGCCGGATTTCTCTTTAAACCTGTAATAGCTCCCTCTATTATGGTATCTCTTTTCTTGCTCTCCTCTATTTTTTCCCTGACTCAATCTTCCTGCTCCCTCATGCCCACCTCTCCCCTCCTCTTCTCCCCTTCTCTTTCTTTTAATTTCCTCTCCCCTCCCCCCATGCTCCCAATTTGCTTGGGAGATCTTGTCCCTTTCCCCTTCTCTGGGGGACCATGTCTGTCTCTCTTGTATCTTTGTTTCTCTGGCAGTGTGGACTGTAGGCTGTTGATCCTTTGCTCTAGGTCTAAAATCCATATATGAATGAGTACATACCATGTTTGTCTTTTTGTGACTGGGTTACCTCACTCAAGTTTTTTCTAATTCCATTCCCAAAATGGCAAACTTTAAGCAGTCAAAATTTCAACAGTGAAATGTGATTCCAGTTTTGAAGTCACATGTTCAGATTTGCTGTCCTGTCTCAGAATTCAGTCAAGGAGATGCTCCATGCGTAGAACCAGCTCTCCTTCGGTCTCAGCATTGTGCCTAGTTCATTGTGCACTGTGCGTTCCTCCCCAGGGCTTTGTGCAGCAGTGGGGGGGGCATAATTTATTTTCCCTTTCCTCCTCTGCCCCCTCAATAGGAAAAGTTCCCAGCCTTTTGTGTATAGGAAAACGGAGCATCACTTGAACTCAGGTCTCCCAAGTGTGTTGTCATAGGCAGGAGCTGGTCCCCAGAGGCCTGGGTCTGTGTTTTTTTTTTTTTTTTTGTAGCAGGTTTGGGACACTCGGAATCAAGGGGTGGAGGGACTGCCTCTCATGCAGATCCTCTCCTCTGTCCTGATAGTTTGTGAAGTTCGCCAACATTGAAGAGGACACCCCATCTTATCATCGGAGCTATGACTTCTTTGTGTCCCGCTTTAGTGAAATGTGCCACTCCAGCCACGATGACTTGGAAATCAAGACTAAGTGAGTAGAGGGAGACAAGGGCCTATGGGGCTCCTCAGAGAATCATCAGGGCCTTCAGCATTGGCTGACAAGTCTGTCTTCCCTGATTCTCCTTCTGGCCTTCAGCATTGGCTGACAAGTCTGTCTTCCCTGATTCTCCTTCTGGCCTGCCGTTGCCATGGTGGGTGGCTGTTGATCAGAAAGGGGCTAGAAAATAGGGCAAGTTATAAGAAAATGGTGGTCCCCAGAATGAACCTGAGGTCCAGGGAGGAAACATACAAGTGCGCGCGCGCGCACACACACACACACACACACACACACACACACACACACACACACACTCCACTCACTGCGTTAAAAATGTGCACTGGCACAACAACCTACTCAACAGGATGGACACCCACCAACAGAGCCCAAGTCCTGATTCTGCCCCTTCCTCACCCCATCTTCTGGGCCCTCCCACCCACCAATTCTCCTCTTGCCATGCCACTAGGGACAAGTAAAACTTTGCACTGTCTGTGCCATGGATCTCATAGCTCCATGCTTCCCCTCTGCCATAGCTCTTTGCTGGCTTCTCTCACCAGCAAAGCCTGCCTGACTGCCCCTGCACTCACTCCTTCCTCCTGTACCTTCCCCTGGCACCCATGGTTAAATCCCCCTTTAACAAGTTCACCGTTCCTCTCTTGTCTCGAGTCCTTGGTCTGTCTCTCCCCACTAGCTTCTAAGCTACAAGAGGACAAGGGTCATGTTGCTCATTAATGTATCCCAATCAGGTCAAAGCCCACGAGGAGGAGCAGGTGGAGGAGCCTTTGTGGGCAGTTACATCCTCGATCCTGGACCGTGTTCCTCTCCGGGTGGTAGAGATGCTCAGGGTGTAAAGAAGCCTGGGTCTCTTTCCTTACAGAATTCGAATGTCAGGCATCAAAGGTCTGCAAGGGGTCGTGAGGAAGACGGTGAATGATGAGCTGCAGGCCAACATCTGGGACCCACAGCACATGGACAAGATCGTCCCGTCGCTGCTCTTCAATCTGCAGCACGTAGAAGAGGCAGAGAGGTGGGTGGGGGTGGGGCTCCCCTCTCTGAGTGCCGCTCTAACCCAGGCTTGGGCTGGAAGGTAAAAGCCAGCTACTGGAACAGGAATCTTGGCTTTGTGGCTTGTTCTGCAATAAGTTCAAGGCTGGCTCTTTGGATGCTTTGGATCTGGCTTCTTCCGGCCTCTGAGCCCCTTCAGTTCTCAAATTAGACAGCAAGAGCAGCAACGAGTCTGTGCTGCCTGAGTGTGCATGTAAGCCAGTCAGGAAACAAGACACAAATTACCCTCATGCCCCTCCTGAAGCAGCAAGTGGAATGCCTTTCATGGTTCAAAATGCTAAAGACTTTTCCTCGAACCTTCCTGTCTCCCTTCATGATGTTCTTCTAGACCTTAACACATGCCTGCTTGGGCAGCCATGGCCACTCAAGAGTTTCAGAACCCCCAAAGCATCAGACTCATTCTGTTCCCTGACCCTTACTTTCCCAAGTAAAGTGGGATGGAGATAAAGGTTCCCTTTGTAGTCCCTATCCTTGGCTTTCTGCCTAGATGCTCAGTAAAAATGCACTCCCTTGGGTTTGAGCTGTTAAACTAGCCGAGGAAAGTTCGTGTGCCCCCTGGTGGGTGTGTCTGACATAACAGCTCACCAATCTGGAGCTGTGATCTCTAAGGGGAGTTCTTTTCAGAGAAGGTACTCTGATTTGCATATTATTAGGTCACACCCTAGCTAATCACTGTTCTCTCTCTTCCATAGTGTCCGCTTCTTTTCAATTCCCACTCCCCCTATCTCTGAACCCCTAGGTACATATAGACTCTCGTGGTCTGCAGGCCCTCCCACAGAGGCAATCCCACCCTGAAGTGCTCCCACAAAAATAACTCTGTTGTCTCCTCCAGTCCCATCCCTTATCTTCATAGCTCTGTCTCCACAGCCGGTCTCCCTCGCCCCTCCAAGCTCCTGAGAAGGAAAAGGAGAACCCAGCCGAGCTGGCTGAGAGGTGCCTGCGGGAGCTGCTAGGCCGAGCAGCCTTCGGCAATATAAAAAACGCCATCAAACCTGTTCTCATGTGAGTTGAATGTCCCACCCCACACAGGAAATGTTCCACTCCCAGGTCCCCCGTTTCTCCTTGTCAACTGCCCCTCTGCCAATGTGAGGGGAAAGGAGATGGTACAGCTGCCATGCTGTGGTGAAGCCACCCCCTTTTTGGTGTAGCATGGCCTGTATCACACAGTAAGGCTATCACAAGGTGGACACCTGCAGTTTGAAGTGATAAATAGGAGGGTACCCAAAACTGAACGAATTGTGCGAGGAGCTCTCAGGAGCTGTCCTTGGCCTCCAAGCTCTACTGCCTATGTCTCCTGGTGACCCTCCCGCTCCATGTCTTCTCCCTTACAGACACCTGGATAACCATTCTCTTTGGGAACCCAAGGTGTTCGCCACCCGTTGCTTTAAAATCATCATGTACTCAATTCAGGTATGGTAGCTTCCCTGCTCCAGCCTGCCCCCTCCCATGTCGTCGTCCCCCTGACCCCGACCCAGGACACTTCCGGGTGCGGAACAGTACACAAAGCAGAAAGCCATTTGTCCTCTGACTTTTCCCAGAGACCCTAGCAGCCACAGATACTGCAGTATCCACCTGGCTGTGAAGAAAGGCTAGTTTAATGTTTAGTACATCCTAGGCCAACATTTTCATGAAACAAGTGAAAACTAATTCCTTGAGAAAAATTAAATCTCGCAAAACGACAAGCAGCCTGCACCCCCTGGTTTTCTGAGCGTTCAGACTGCTCCAGGCTTACGTTTTTTCTGGCCCGCCCTCATCTCAGCAGCAGTGTTATCAGAGACATCTTGATCTGGCACTGGGCCCCCAGCCACTTTGTGCAGCACGGAGCTGAACCATGTGGCTTCTCATGGTCCTTGCCAGTAAGACCTGGGGACCGGGAAAAATGAAGGACAATATTTTGAAATGGATTTCTGGCCCCTTTTGAAGTAAAAGGAATCAGGGGGGAAAATGTGCAAACGCAGATTCGCTGGGATTTGGCTCCGTGTTTGTGAGCCTAGGCCGGGATGGGGGTTGGGGAGTGCTGCAAGAAAGTGCGCGCTCTGGGTGCCACCTGCAGTGTCCACTAACTGTGGGATGTCATTTTAGTTCACCCTCAGCCTCTGGGTGCCAGGGGAGGGCTGCCGGGCCTTTGCAGTGGTTGTTTGGGAACCATCACGTCTTCCTCCCCCACAGCCGCAGCACTCCCACCTGGTTATCCAGCAGCTCCTGAGCCACCTGGACGCCAACAGCCGCAGCGCGGCGACTGTGCGCGCAGGCATCGTGGAGGTCCTATCGGAAGCTGCGGTTATCGCCGCCACCGGCTCTGTTGGTAAGGGGGTCCAGAGCAAACGGCAATGGGCAGGAGGGAGGGGCAGGTGTTGGATTTAGGACCGACTGGCTGAGCGGGCTCGGGTGTAAGGGACAGCCCGAGGGATGCCTGTCCTGACTGCGGGTCCCTCCCTCTTGGCGCCCAGGACCCACGGTGCTGGAGATGTTCAACACCCTGCTGCGGCAGCTGCGGCTCAGCATCGACTACGCGTTAACCGGGAGCTACGACGGTGCTGTGAGCCTGGGCACCAAGATCATCAAGGAGCACGAAGAGCGCATGTTCCAGGAGGCGGTCATCAAGACCATCGGTGGGGAGAGGATGGGGTGGGACTGGGAGGGGCCATTGAGGCTTGAGGGGGGGCAGGTGCGGGATCAGAAGAGGAACAAGCGAAGATCGGGAGGCGGAGCTAAGGAAGCAGAGTCTGTGAACCAAGGCCTAGCACGGGGCAGAGGAGAGGATGAGTGAGACTTGGAAAGGGGCGGGGCTCTGGGGGAGGGACTTAAGAGGGGGAGGTGCCCGGTGAGCTCGGAGCGGAACCTCTGGGGAGAGGTTGCCAGGGTCTTAGGGCGCTGGCCTGAAGCGGACAAGACTATAGCAGTGCTTCAAGAAGGGACCCTGGCAAAGCCTGGAGAGGGAAGAGTTCTAGGGGGAGGAGTTAGTGTGGGCACTCGGAAAGGGACTTAGGGAAGGAAGGGATCTTTGGAGAGTGGAGTGAAATCTAGACTTGATAGAGATGATCCTTGTAAGAGGACCAGGCCTCTAACACAGCATCTGCTGTATGACAGTCTCCATGGGGGACATAGGGAATTGAAGGCAGCCTATGATACACATGCCTGGCTGGCCCCTGAGCGAATCTGTCTGGGTTTCTCCACCAGGTCCTCCTGCAAAGGAGGACAATTCCTGTGTCCTGGTCCTCATTAGTACTTCCACAGCGCGGCCACTGGAGGGGAGGAGGGGATTAAGGAAGAAAAGAGGAAAGGAAGAAAGCTATGGAGACTATCTGTGCCTTGAGTATGAAGAAATCTGAAACCACAATTACCACAGAGTCCTCAGTCTCAGAGATCTCTGTACCTATGCCATGGACAGGAGCTGCCATGTGCTCTAGGCCCTATTCCCCAGTAAAGGTGCCCTGATGGTGACCACAGCCTCAGTAACAAGGGAAGAAGTGGCATCTGGAAGAGTCCTCTGGAATCCTCCAGGCTCCCTTCCCCAAGAACAATCACAGCAGTCTACCTGGGCAGGTCTCTCTGGGCATCAGTGAGCCTGACTCTATCCTTTCAACTAATACTTGCTGGGCCTGGGCGACCTCTAATGCTCTGTTCTCTTCCTCGCAGGCTCTTTTGCCAGTACTCTGCCCACCTATCAGCGGTCTGAGGTGATCCTCTTCATCATGAGCAAAGTCCCGATACCCTCCCTGCACCACCCGGTGGAGACCGGAAGGACAGGGTTAGTCCACTCCCTTCTTTCTCCCAGCCTAGACTGCCTGGTTCCTGGTTATCCACTTCTGTGGATCTTCTCTTGACTCAAAAACTCCTCAACAGTGGGGATGGTAGGTCCCACGGCAATTTTCAGCCCCCCCCCTCCTCGCTTTAGGGAAATCATGGGCCCGCATTCTGGCTTCCTGGGTAACCCCACGGGATAAGCCTCCTGGTGAGGAATCTCATTGGTGGAGAACTGAGGAAGGCTGGGGAAGGGGCACCCTGTTGCCATCCTGCTGAGTGCCTGCATCTCTGGCCCACAGGGAGAATAGGAACCGGCTGACCCAGATCATGCTGTTGAAGTCTCTCCTTCAGGTGAGCACCCCTGCACCCATCTCTGCTCTGCCTCTGTGGGCACAGCTCCTTTCATGGGAGCCAAGACAAGGCAGTAATGCGCGTTACACACTGCCCAGATATGCCCAGCCATTGAAGGGGTAAGGGGCTGAAATCCAGCCTGAGAGCTCCAAGTTATTCAGAGCAGGGTGGGAACGTAATGCTTTTTGTTTGTTTCTGGGGTTTTTTTTTTGTTTTGTTTTGTGAGACATGGGTTTCTCTTTGTAGACCAGGCTGGCCTCAAACTCACAGAGATCTGCCTGCCTCTGCCTCCTAAGTGCTGGCTGTTTTTGATTTTTGAGAAAGGATTCTCTGTATAACAGCACTGGCTGTACTGGAACTTCCTTTGTAGGCCAGGTTGGCCTGGAACTCAGAGATCCTCCTGCTTCTACCTCCTGCCTCCTGAGTGCTGGGATTAAGGGCATGCACCACCACTGCCTGGCTTAATGCGATTTTGCTTTTGTTTTTGTTTTTTAAATGGTGATTCAATATGCCTACTGATAGCCTTGTCACTATAACCTTGTGAGTCTTGAGATAATTCCTTCCCCTCTGCCCACCTGGTGCCCTTCCCTAGGTCCTGTCCCCCTGGCTCCCTCATTTTACCATTGACATTCATGCCTCATCTTCCAGCCACCACCTTCTTCCTCTCTGTTTTCTATGCCTCTTTGCATCTCAGCTTCCATCGCCGGAATCTAGTTCTGTGTTCACAAGCACCATTCCCACAGCCAACTGGTTAAAATGTGCATGTTCCCAGGGAGGGAGAGTGGTCAGCGCTTGAGATTCTGAAAATTTCTATTTGTGTGTGTATGTGTGTGGTATACAAATACATATTTGAGCCATTTATTTAGGGCCCTCCCCCTGTAGCCCTGGCTGGTCTTGAACTTAACATATCCTATGCTGGCATCAAACTCAGATCCTCCTGCCTCAACCCACTAAGTGCTGGGATTCAGGCATACCTGCACTGCCATACCCCAGCTTTGAAATTTGTTTTTGTAACAAGCTGCCTGCTCTAGCGTAAACTTCAGACATCTCAGGACTAGGTTATCCTCCTCAATGTTTGTGTGTCCACCTTTAACCGTCATAAACACCAGGAGAATTTTCTGGAAAAATACCATTTCTGGCATTGCTCCTTATTTTCAGGAGATTCCAATTTCTAGTATGAATATTTACATTTCAGTCTTTTCAGAGTAAAGTTTCCAGGATCCTGCCTCTCTCTAGACAAGCAGTTCTCAACCTGTTGGTTGTGACCTCTTTGGGGGTTCAACAACCCTTTACGCAGGGGTCATTCACCTGAGACCACTGGAAAACAGATGTTTACATTACAATTCATAACAGTAGCAAAATTACATCTGTGAAGCAGCAATGAAAATAATTGTATGGTTGGGAGGTCACCACAACGTGAGGAACTGTATTAAAGGTCACAGTATCAAGGTCAACCCTTGTTTCCCTCTTCTCCTACCCCACTGCATTTGTTTGGACACTTTGCTTCGACACTTTGCTGGAGTAGTATTGGGGCTTGAACCCAGGACCTCACACATGTTAGGCAGATGCCCTTCCACTGAGTGTACTTCCAGTCCCACTCAGTATCCTTTCACAAAGCCCTTTTGTTCTTATGCTTCTCATATCTAATTGTCTATTCTCTCTTTGGTCTTTGTAACCCTGCAGTTTTGCCTAGTTGCCCCTTGTTAATTTGTACCCAGTGTCTTATGTGACAGTCTAAGGAATGCTCATGTGCCCCTTCAGAGAACATTTGATGCTTTGGGGCTGGGTTGACTCCATGGAAACCTTCCGAATCATCAGAATGGACTTAACAGAAAATGCCCTTTGCTACTGTTGAGCATTTGGCATCATATGTGATGTATCTATCTGTGCTGACTGATTTGAGTCAGAAGGTCCCATTATCACAGTGCTGTGCTGACTGTTGTGTATGTGAAGGGACTCTGCCACCCAGCTGTGAGGTCCTCTGCCCTCTAATAAGTTCTTGTGACTCCTGGTCTTAACAAAGCATTGTAACAAAACAATTGGGCATTCACCAGCTGTTCCCTGCCAGCTAGAACTTTCAGATAGTCCCCATCTCTTGCCTTTCCCTGGTGCTAATCCTTATTTACTTTTAACACTTACTGCCCCATATACCTACATGTCAACTGAGCTACACCGAGTAAATTTTCCAGGTGGATATTCAGGGGGCTCCATGCAGAGGATAGACACTTTACACCAGAATTCTGGCTGCTTCTCCATCTCATCTCTGCACCAAGGCTGACAGTGTTCCTAAGAACACCTGTCCTGGGCTTCCCTACAGGTATCCACAGGATTCCAGTGCAGCAACATGATGTCAGCCCTGCCCAGCAACTTCCTTGACCGTCTTCTTTCCACTGCCCTCATGGAAGATGCAGAAATCCGCCTCTTCGTTCTGGAGATTCTCATCAGTTTCATTGATCGCCATGGAAACCGTCACAAATTCTCTACTATCAGGTGAGCTCAAGGTCTCTCCTCCAGTAGATGTGTGATCCGGGAGCCCCCAATGAGACTTATCTTCTTGGCCAGTAACATCACACCCAAGTGGGAGGATATTTTTGGATGCAGTGAGAGCCTCTAGAGTTCATCATCCCTGGCTTTAGTCAAGGAGAGCAGGAGTAGAGTGTCCTTGTACCTGGGCTGGAGAGAGTGCGTCAGCATAAAGTTTAAGAGAAAGAAACAGGAATGTGAGAACTTTGGAGAAAGTAGAGGTGGGGTTAAGAGCCAAGGGCAACCTACAGCGTTGGGGATAAGGCTTGGTGACACCGTGAGGTTGGCCTCACACGGGCTAAGAGGCTCCTCTGTCCCTTCATAGCACCCTCGGTGACATCTCGGTCCTGAAGTTGAAAGTGGACAAGTGCTCCCGGCAGGACACTGTCTTCATGAAGAAGGTGAATATGACCAGAAGACACAGCGAGCCCCAGCAGAGAGCAGGTTTATTCATCCCAGTCTTCCAGCATCTAAATCACTATGTGACCATTGGTCCCAGGGCCCGGCTCCAACCCCGTCAGTTGGCCAGATTAAGCAGTGGCTGAGGATGGAGACGGGCCCCCCTCCCCCATTCTGCTTGCCCTGCGCCCTGGACCCACTCCCAGTGACCGCTGCCCGCACCCCTCCTGTCCCCAGCACTCCCAGCAGCTATACCGGCACATCTACATGAGCTGTAAGGAGGGGACAAACACCCAGAAGCACTACGAGGCACTCTACGGCCTGCTGGCGCTCATCAGCATTGAGCTGGCCAACGAGGAGGTGATGGTGGACCTCATCCGACTGGTGCTGGCTGTTCAGGTGGGGCTGGATGTGGGAGGACTGAAAGGGGGCCACAGGGAGGGGCCTCTCTAGCCAGGTACAGACAGGGATACCCCCTGCTTCCACAGTTGTTTTGGTGACAGTTATTTTGGTGTCTGGGGACATTGAACTCTAGTTGGTCAGTCCTCCATGAAAACCCCAAACCATGCTGTTGTCTGGAAAGCCCCAGAAAACAAATTAATTTATGACTCTTGTTCATCATTAAGGTAAAGAGAACACAAGGTCACCCAGAATCACCCCTGAACCCCAACATTCAAGCCTGCCGCAGGGTCTTTGAGTGCTACCCAAAAACACCTAAGGGGGCATCCAAAAGCCCCAAGTGACCCAGAAACACGTATCCATCTAAAAATCCTCTCTTGCTGTTGGATTTGCTTGTTCAGAATTTTTAAAAAATGCACATTATCCAAACTAGAAAGCCACAGTGTCCCAAGCCTGTGACCTGTGTCTTTTACAAGCCTCCATTGTGATCCATAGGCAGCCGATGTGCTGCTAGGCAGGACCTGAAACTGCTTGGGAAGTAGTCCACTGCCACAGAAATTGAGGTGGGTCCTTCAGACCTCAAATGCTGCGGTCTCTGGGTCCTGAAGCCAAGCAGGCATCATCTTCTAGACTTAGTGACATGCATCTTGATCGGTCACCTTTATGACCATGCCAGATCCTGTAGACCAACCTAGACATGACAGTTTTCTTTGTTTACTCCAAGAAGTAGAATTCAGGACTACTTTGTGTCCCAAGCTCTTGGATAACCCCACAGCTTTTAGCATATGGACCCAGTTCAACAAGCCAATGCAATCGTCTTCACTTCAGCTTTGCTGGAGGAGATGGCAGCTAAATGGTGCGGTTAATGCTAATGAGGAGGGTTTGGGCAGTGGCGGTCACTATAACCAAAATGAGAGTGGTGAGATGGGTTTTTGCCTCTATGCTCTTAGGGATTTATGAGCCTCCAGCTCATGAATTATTCCAGGGATCATTCTCTCTAGCTTTATATGGATGACTTCTGCCTCCCGGAAGATTACAGGATGAAGATTTAATCTAGAAAGATAAGCCATCTCTAAGAAGATTGGGGAGAGGTCATGTGGGAGGGTGTAGACTTTAATGGGGTTTGTCAGGGACAAAACTCCAGAAGCCTATCTATGTTATCCCAGGATGTGGCCCAAGTCAATGAAGAGAATCTGCCTGCCTATAACCGCTGTGCGCTCTACGCTCTGGGTGCAGCCTACCTGAACCTCATTAGCCAGCTCACAACAGTGCCTGCCTTCTGCCAGCACATCCATGAGGTTGGTGTCCTTGTAATCTTGAGAACTCAGTGAGCCCGGGAGCTTGGGCTTTAGAGGAAGTATTAATCTAAAGATCTGCTGTCCTTAGCCTCTGAGTAAAAGGGGTCTCATACCTGCCTGCTACCCACTTGTCCTAAGGAAGCATATGACACATATTCTTCCAGCCATGTGAATGAAAGCAACGTAATAGGAGGTTGGGTAATATACATAAATCCCTGGGTTCAATCCCCGGACCACATAAATCTGGGTATGGTGACATAAACCTATAATTGCAGCATTCAAGAAGTCTCAGTGGTAGAGAGACCTTGGCATAGCAGGTCTGGGCTACATGAGATTGCTCTTTCCAACCCCCCCAAAAAAAGTTTTAGGAAGTGGAACATGGTAATATATATAGACCTGCAATCCCAGCCATTCGGGAGGCTGATGAGAGAGCATATGCAGGCCAAGGCCAGTCTGGGCAACACCGAAGCTGTAACTGGCACGCCTATGGCAAAATGGGAGTCGGAGACAAAAATGAGACATAAGCTCGTGGGCCAGTTAGCCTGGAATAGACACTGCAGTAGCAAAAGCAAGGACCCAGCCCCTGCAAGGTGGAAGGCAAGAACCCACTCCCACTCCCAAAACCTCCACACATAACTATGGTGTGTGCATGCCCCCGGCACACACGCACGCACGCACACACTCAATCACACACATACACCCAAGCACACAGGCACACACATGAAAACAAAAAAGGCAAAGTTTTTGTCTTGAACACTCCAGTACCACACAAAAGCAAAAGCAGAACTGTGAACCACAGTTAGGCAAATTAAATACTGTGAAAATTTCTCACATTTGTTAATCAAAATCATTCTTTTCCTTTGCTGAAATATTTTAAAGCAAATTCTGGCTCCCTATGCACGAATTTAACATATCTATATATATGTATGCAGAGAGAGAGAACAGAACAGTGGCATCTCCCTCCAGTACTGCCATGCTGTCACTTAGCTAATTAGATTTTGATTCTTTCCCTACCTTGGTACCTAGTAGCCAATCTAGTCAATGCATCTCAGTTGTTGCATAAAGGTCTTTTAAAACCATAAAACCATTCTGAAGGTGACTGGAAAGATGGCTCAGGGTTAAGAACACTGACTACTAGTGCAGAGGACCTGGGTTCCATTCCCAGTACTCACTTGGTAGCTTACAACTGTCTATATCTTCAGTTCCAGGGGACCTTCACAAATACTGGACATAGGCAAAACATTTGTACACATAAATATTTTTTGTTGTTTTATGTTTGTTTGTTGAGACAGGGTTTATCTGTATTGTTTTGGAGCTTGTCCTGGAACTAGCTCTGTAGACCAGGCTGGCCTATGCTGGCTTGGGGGCATGAGGGCAGATGCTGTGTCATTGTGCCAGAGACTTCCCAAGAGCATTAGACTTGCATGGGCTCTGCTGATAAGGGAGTACAAGAAATCCTCTTCGCTGGAGATAGTGGGGCTATTGCCAAGTCACACTCAGACACCTGCATCCCATCTATTTTTGGCTTCTCACTACTTCTGTAACTTTCACAGCTCTTCCAAAAACACTTGCAAAGACTCTTGAGGGGACCTCAAGCTGTCCATCAGCCACTTTTACCTCAGTCAGACTCGACTCGACACTCGGTGCCACCTGCATTCCCTTTTCACTTACCTAAGTTGAAAGCACAGAACTAAGAAAGAAAGCCTGGTTCCTTAGGAACAAATGCCCCGCACTTGGAGGACACTTGACATATGTGCGTCATTAATGGCGATAGCTTGAGCAGCAACTCATCTCCCCAGGCAGCTCTGACGTGACTGAGGATCTGGATTCTCCCTGGAGAAACTCTGTGTTTCATTTCCAAGGAGCCTGAGAGGGAAGGAGAGCTCTGAAAGTGAGGCTACAGCTCTTCCTCCCTCCTACTGTGAGCCACCTGACCCTCCTGGACCCACATCTCGTCATTTGTTTCCTTTTGAACTCCAGGTGATAGAGACCAGGAAGAAAGAAGCGCCATACATGCTTCCCGAAGACGTGTTTGTGGAACGGCCCAGGTAAGGATGGTGGGGAGTGGGTGTGGTCAAACATGAAAGAGTGGGCAGTATGTGCCAGGCAAGAACACACATTAGGAGACTTAGACCCTGCCAGAGATCTCCAAGTCCTGGGCAGAGTTTGGCCCCCATCACATTGCCATAATCCTTTCATGGATGCAGTATCATCAGGCCGCAGGAGGGGAACCCAGGAGCTTTGGTCAAACCCAAGGGGAATGCATCCTAAAAGAGTTACCCATGACAGGATCCTGCCTTCAGCTGCCTTCAGATGGTGCTATGGACCAGTGTCAAATGAGAGGAACTCAAGGGAAAGATATTCTGAAAAACGAGGTGTTCAGCAACAGGAATTAACCCTCTAAGCCATGGTCTCTCTGTTCACTTACTGGCAAAAGAGATCAACGGTTCTGGGCTCTGTGGCAGAGCACACATGAGTTCTGCATTGAACCCCAAGCACAGAAAAGATTTAGAAAGTCCATGATGTTTTGAAAGATATTTAGTGTGACATAGTTATTAGATAACAGATGAAGAAGATCACAGGCTGAGGACATGGCTTGTTTTATATCATGCCTATGAAGTTTGTTCCCCAGAACCCATGTTGTTTAAAAAAAAAAAAAAAGCCAGGTGTGGTAGCATGTGCTTGTTATCCCACACTGGGATGGGGACATGCAGGTCTGTAAGCTCAGTGGCCCGCCAGCCTAGATTACTTGGTGAACTCAAGGCCAGTAAGAGAGACCCTGTCTCAAAGAAAATGTGGATGTTACCTAAGTAACAACACCCAACATTGGCTTCTGATCTCCACATATCTGCACATACACATATGCATGTACACCTGCACACACATGCACACACCCAGAATTAATCACAGAACAGTGTTAGGGAAGGGAACATCCATGTGTGAATATAAATGTGTGCAACTGAAGGAGTCTGCATAAAACGTGCAACAGTAGGCATCCTTGGAAAGGGGCCAGGGGATTTTCTTCTATTTCTCTGTCATTTTGCATAGTGAATATGGTGCTATTGTGATAAAGTCATCCAGGCATTGTTCTAGCTGCCCACAGTCCTACTCTGCCTCTTCTTTGTCCTTCAGGCTGTCTCAAAATCTAGATGGTGTGGTGATAGAGTTTCTCTTCCGCCAGAGTAAAATCAGTGAAGTCCTGGGAGGCAGCGGCTACAATTCAGACAGGCTCTGCCTGCCCTACATCCCTCAGCTGACAGGTATGAGCTCTGGGCCAGGCTTCCAATCTACCTCTGCCTTTCCTGCCAGGTAAGAGCCCTAGGGTAAGGGGATGTGGACAGCTGAATCACTTGTGGTGGCCTCTTAGAAGTTATATAAGAGCTGAAAGACACATAGAATTTATGGTGCGATCCCTATTTTGATGCTCCTTCTCCTCCTCATTTTGGGATCTCAGAAAGCAACTGGGCAGAGAGATAAACTGGCTTGTGGAGGACTGGTCCATGGAAAGAGCAATCATAGGCTATATAACCAGGGACCCATCTGTGCTACTTACTTCTTTAAAAAAAAAAAAAAAAAAAAAAAAAAAAAAAAGACAAATTGAGCAAGTCTCTGGAAATCCCCTAGTTACTGGCTACAAAATTCCCTAATTAGAGTGTTGTGTGGAGGTGTGTGGAGTAATGAAGCCAAATGCACTTAGGGGATACTGTGTGTATATCCATTCCTGGTGCCGTTAGTGGATGCAGCCAGCTTGTGCTAGTTGAGATATGCTTTCTGGGCGTGAGCAGCTTCTTTGTTTTCACACATGGTTGCAAAAATCTTAACCCAAAGCAGCAACCTGACCACCCTAAGATGGGTGGGAAAGGCTCACGAAAATGCAGGCTTCTGGAAGCTCTGAGTGTAACCATTGAGGACTGCGAACCAAGGCACAGAGGGTGGGAGCAGTGGCTTGGCAAGGACTGGGAATCCCAACTTCTGGTCTCTTCTCTTCCAGATGAAGATCGCTTGTCCAAGAGGAAGAGCATTGGAGAGACAATTTCCCTTCAGGTAGAGGTGGAATCGAGGAACAGCCCAGAGAAAGAGGAGGTTAGTGTCTGCTCACTACCCTGCACGCCACGTGCTCCAAAGTCTTTTATAGTGCATTAAGGGATCCGCAGAAATTAGTTTTCTTGAGTACACCCATTTTCTTGCAGACTCTCATCATGAGTACATCACTGGTATTTGCAGCTGAGAGATTAATGTTCTGCTTCTACCATGAGAATATAATTTTACAAAGATCACTCTGAAATAAAAAAAAAAGCTAAGTAAGAAACAACAACAATAAAACCACTCTAGAAAGGCTTGCTCCATTCCCCACTCATACAAATTAGGGGATTGACAGGCGTGGGGCAAGCATCCCACAAAGTAAGGAGGACCCACATCTGAGAGGAACTGTCAGGGACAGGAACACTCATGGGGAGCCTGAGGGTGGCTGTGGAGGATGATGGATCTCTTCCCCAGGTGTGATCAGAGCATAGATAAGTCCTTAAAGGCTGAGATTAAGCATCCCCCTAAATAGGACAAAGCTCTAAACCTGGACATGCAGAGCTTGTCTGGAACATTCCTATGGAAGGCAGGAAGCTGTGACCCTGGCTAATCAGGCAAGCAAAGTGAGGACATGGAAGTAAGGGTCCTCAGAGACCCATCCAGACGTGAAAGACAGGACATCTTGTGTATCACAGCCTCGAAGTTAGCTGCTTTCCTACTCTGCAGAGGGGGTTTCTCCTAAGTTCAGAGGCCTTCAGTAGTTAAGTGAAGCTAAAGAGGAGAAATGTTTACTTAGCTAGTGCCCCTACTCACTGGTAGGCTCCTGGGACGCTGGTATTGGTTCTTTCGTTTGGGTCAGCTTAGCCCAGGGGCATGCACTAGGCTACCACTACCACATGTTCTATCACTACATTGCTTCAGCCCATGGTGTCCTGGTTCAGGATCCTGCCTGGGCTGACAGTGTCATCACCGAGTGATGAATCAATGCTGCTGTGGTCAAACCTTAATCCCAGTGCCCAGCATTCTGGGCCCATCCTGCCAAGTTCATTTTGTTTCTCTTACCATCCTATGTACCTCTGCTGGCAGCACAGCTGTCAGTATCCTCTGTGCCGCGCTCAATCATCTGTCTGCACAAGTACACTTGGTACAAAGACCCAAAAAGCTCCCTGCCTGCCTTCTTCTTCATTATGGGTGCTTGGACCTTTGGACATATAAAGCACCTGTTCCTTGAAGCCCAGCTAGGTCCCATTTTCTCCATGCACGTCTCTTTACCTGCTCTCACTTGGAGAACTTGCTTTTACTTTTACTTTACCCTATGGTTTCTTAATGCCTAGAGTTTATCTGCATTGGTCTTCACTGACCATGGATGGATGGACCCATGAGTGGACGATGTATGGGTACATAGGATGAATTCCCAGGCTCTCTTGTGTGTAACTCTTGTGTTAACAAGTTTGGCAGCTTCTGTTGCCCCACTCAGAGTTCTGCATGCTATTGTTGTCCATACAATATTTGCTGAACGTCTTTACCCCGTATCTGTCCTTTCCAGTCAAACAGACATTTAATTAAATGGCAAACAAGTTAAGAAATGTTCTGTTTGCAGATTTTCACAAGGTGAATGCGCCCATGTCATCACACTCAGATCAGGAGACCAAACACAGTCATCACCCAGGGACCTCTCCGGAGCCCTCCTCCCTCAAAGGAGCCAGTTAGCATAGTTGTATCCTGTTTTGGGACTTTGTCTCATTAAATTGCTCTCTCGTCTACATTTTCTCCTTACTTTTCATAATGGCACATGATTCATCATGGATGTCACACCAAGAAGCTCATAGTCTGGTTCAAAGTGCATGGTATCTGGTCCAAACCTCATTATCTTCAGCATCTTTCCTGAGGCCATGCATCCATGGAATTCCCTTCTTTGGGTTTTATTATTGCCTGCCTCTTTTTAAAGGCTTTGCAGAAGTTGGGATCCTTTGCCTCCAGTCTTTGGACCAATCTCATCAGCAGAGGTTCCATTATTTCTAACCTCCTATGGACTTACTATATTAAAATTCATCACTTCAGGGTATAATTTAATATCATGAGCCTTCAAAATGTTATGAAGTTCTTGAACTCTCACTCTTACATACAATTGTTCCTCTGAGGGATTTTTTACAATCACGTGATGGCTACCTCCCACAGCAGAGCTTGACAGGACAGGCTTAGGTAGGGAAAAGAGAACAGAATCCTGTTCCAAGGGCATCTCATGAGGAATTGGCCTCGTCTGCATTTCTCCACACATGCTCAGACACAGCTCTGGGGTTGGGGGTGACCTAGGGACATTCCCCTAAGAAGAAAAGGGGCTGCCTTCTCTCCCTCACTTTTCTGAACATGTCTGTCCCTTCTCCTTCAGCGAGTGCCTGCAGAGGAAATCACCTATGAGACCCTGAAGAAGGCCATTGGTAAGACAGCAGCCCCAAGAGACTCCCGATGAATGGGGAGGTTGGGGCTGACATGGACCTGGTGGAAGTCATCAGCCACCAAAGCTGCAGCTGGAGGCCCCACTCCCTGGTGAAGGGTGCCGCCTGTCACTGTCTGTCAGGCAGTCCCTTTCTTTCTTACTAATAACAACTGCCTCTGAAAGCTGCCAGTTGAGGGTTACAGCCAGGTGACTGGTTTGTACAAATAGAACTTCTTGTGTGTGGAAGATGGCACAAATGGACAAACTGTCCACTGAAAGGTGTTTAGAAGAAATCATATTAGCATTCTTTTAATAGGGCAATAGACACCAAGTCACCTTTATCTGCGTGATGGGCCCTGAAGTGTCCCTGTTAAGAGGGACACTAAGTGGACTTTCTGTGATGCCTCTTCAGAATCTTGTTATTATAAGTAAGTACACTCAGCCAAGTGTTGTGGTGCACACCTGTAAACCCAGCACTTGAGAGGCAGACGCAGTTGAATCTCTGTAAGTTCGAGGCTGGCCTAACTACATAGTAAGCTCCAGAACAGCCAGGGCTATCTATTGAGAGCCTGTCTCAAAAAGATTAAGCAAACAAACAAATAAATAAATGTATGAACCACCTGCCTCCCTAACCCCTCACAATGGATTACTATTTGTCCTCCAAAGCCGCTCCCTATTTTTCCTTATTTGGTGCTAACTCACTTGGATAGCAAGTGGTATGTGGAAAGCCTTAAGTGAAATTTCCTCAGCTGTGCTGTGGGGCTGTGTTGACTCTCACTATCTAACTTTTTCAAACTACCCTGGCAGTAACAAAATGGACAGATGTCTGAGGTCTTCTGTGTGAGAGACCCATCAAGAGTGCAGCCCAGCCGCATGGGTCCATTTAACTGATTCTCAGAGGGTGGGGCTGGATCAGGAAGAGAGTATGAGGACCATACACCTTCCGTGACTCCGCCCCCTTTCCAACCCAGGAGACCACCCTGTGTATCTCCGTCAAGCTCCTTCCCCTAACTCATCCCTGAGCACTAACCCAGTTCTCTGTGTCACAGTGGACAGTGTGGCAGTTGAGGAACAAGAACGTGAGCGGCGGCGACAGGTGGTAGAGAAATTCCAGAAGGCACCCTTTGAGGAGATTGCAGCCCACTGTGGGGCCCGGGTGAGTAACATACCATAGGGTGCCTTCCTGATCAATCAGAACCCAGACATTTGCCCCCTGTCATGCAGAAATTAGGCTTTGGTTCCAGTATCCAGTACCCTGCTATTTACCTCAGTGCTCTCTCGCTACATTGCTTCCCCTGACTGAGCCCAGTGACGGGCATTTATTAACACTCACCTTTAACCCCAGCACTTAGGAGGCAGAGGCAGGCAAACCTCTGTAAATTCAAAGCCAGCCTGGTCCACATAGATAATTCCAGGCCAGCCAGAGCTATATGGTAAGACCTCAAAAGGCAGGCAGGGTGTAGGAGGGTAAGGGGTCAGTGGGGGCCAGCTGGGTGTGATGGTTCACACCTTTAAACCATCAGTGGATCTGAGTTCAAGGCCAGACTGGTCTTCATAGGTAACCCCAGGCCAGCCAAGGTGATACCTTGTCAATAAAACAAAAACATTTTAATATTATTATTACCCTGTGTGTTATGTAGGTCAAAGGACTTTTGGTCTCTCCTTCCGCCTTTATGTGGGTTTCAGGGACTGAATTCTGGCCTTTGTAGGATGCACTTTAACCATTGAGCCCTCTCACCAGCCAGGTTCTTTTTAACTCAGGGCCTTGCTCTACTGTCCTGGGCTGGCCTTGAACTCCCTATGTAGCCCAGACTCACATCACAATGTTCAACCATCCTGCCTCAGTCTTCTGAGTGCTGAGGTTACAGGAGTGTGGCTTACATTTTAAGTTTACTTATGTAAGATCTACATATTTTGTAGCAATATAAAAACACATCTTCCAAGCCCTGTTCCCATCTCACTTTGAAATGGGAATAAGTTATTCCCATCTCACTTTGAAAGGTAGACTGGCCATTTTGTTATCTAGGAGGAGGCCCAAGTGCTGGACATGTGTCAAGAAGGAGTAATGTCAGCTCCAGTATCTGACCCCATGCCCAACAAGCCCTGTTACCCCGTATTAAGGAGTAGAAGCCTGCCCAAACCCTCCCTGGTATTCCCAGCCCTCTGTCAAGTCCCCAGCCAGCCTTTGATGGGTGGTTGCCCCTGATCCGAATTGGTAAGTTCAGCAGACAGGTGCAGGGATGCAAGGATGCAGGCACACCTACCTGGTTACCCTCTACAGTTGACTTCCAGGTATTCTTTGGACAGGTGGCTGCTGACACTTTATTTTATGAATATTGCCTGCATGTCTGTGTGAGGGTGTCAAATCTTGGAGTTACAGACAGTTGTTAGGGTGCTGGGTGCTGGGATTTGAACCCTGGGCCCTTTGGGAGAGCAATCAGTGCCCTTAACCCATCTAAGCCACTTAAGCACTTAAGCCACTAAGCCATCTCTCCAGCTGACACTCTTGGAGCCCTGAGTTCACTTTCCTTCTGTTTGTGTCTAGGCATCACTGCTGCAGAGTAAACTCAACCAGATCTTTGAAATCACCATCCGGTAGGTGGCAGCATGGGCAGGGACCTAACCTCTGTGTCCAGCATTGGGGGGCAGGGTGGTTACCCTAAGTCCTCTTCTCACGCCTGTGTGCACAACCCTACCTTCCACCCCCAACCTCTATTATCAGCCACCATGGAGAGGACATGAGACTGGCTTAGTAAGGCCTAGAAAAGGCTAGGGGTCTTAGTATCCCAGGTAAGTACTTGATTTCCAAAGTGCCTGTATCACCATAGAGCAAGGGTTCTCAATCTGTGGGTCACAACCCCATTTGGGGGTCACATACAGGATATCCTGCATATCAGGTTTTACATTATGATTCATAACTAACAAAAATACAGCTATGAAGTAGCAACAGAATAGTTTTATGGTTGGCTCACCACAACATGAGGAGCTGTATTAAAGGGTCAAGCTTTAGGAAGGCTGAGAACCACTGCTGAACTGAACATTCTACATCTTGGAAATCTGGAACTCGTGTAATGATGTGAGTTTTAAAGAGAAACCAAGAGCGACTACTGTGTTCAGTTGCACAAGGGTAGGGCCATAATTGCTGCTTTATACCTTTCTCTTCCATGCGTCCCTAGGCCCCCTCCAAGCCCTTCGGGGACCATCACTGCAGCCTATGGCCAGCCACAGAACCATTCCATCCCTGTCTATGAGATGAAGTTCCCCGATCTGTGCGTGTACTGAATTCCAAGAGGCAGAACTTCTCAGAGGACACTGTGAGGACCACCCTCCTGCCCACTCTCTCCATGGGGAAGTCTAGCCGGCAGAGCTGAGAAATAGTCACTTTGGACAATGGCTCTTCCCGATTTGAGCAAAGATAGAACCCTCTGGTCCTCTGTGGCCCTTCTGCCTGCTCCTCATCTTCCATGAGGAAGATCCAGCCACCTGCCCTCTGGGGTAGTTAGCATCTCATCTGTCTTCCCTTTTGTATCAGTCAGGGACAGAGAATCATGAGGGTGTCTCCATTGAGAAGCAGAGGAGCTGGGATGCTTCCATTGGGATGTGTCTATAGGGGCATGTCAGTCCGCCCTCCCCCGCGCAGGGAAGGAGCCTGATGATGTCATTGGTCTAAGGAAGCTATAGATGGTACTTGGGGAAAATGAGGAAGCCCTCCTCATCAAGAAGTGACAGCTGGAAGGTAATGCCTGCTCTCACCTCTTAGCCTTGGGTGTCTTGTCTGGCCTCTTCTTTACCCTCCAGTTATCAGTCTTTCTTTTTTCCTGTTTCTTTTTCTTATTAATGAATACTGAGTGCTTACAGCAGGAGCTGGGGTAGACACACTGGGCCAGACTGGCAGAAGGGCAACAGGCTGGTGACAGAGGGACTGCTGCTGGGTGGCAGCCTCAGCAAAGCACATGTGTGGCAAGTCTGTGTGTGTTCCTTCTGCATTGCATCTTCTCAGCTCCTCTGTCCAGAGGAAGCTTGTGGAAGATCTTCTCCAGTTCTTTCTCTCCTGGATGTTCCTGGGTTGTTAAGTTGGTCCTCGATGTTTTTCTTCCAAACATCCCTCAGTGTTCCCACAGCCTCTGGGTTGAGAGAAAGCTGAGCAAGCTAGCTGGTCCTAGGTGACTGAAGATGGGAAGAAATGCCGGGGCTCTGAAGCCTGTCCACATCACTTCCCATGGAAGATGCTCCCAGCAGAACTCTCCCTCTCTCTCTCCCTCTCTCCCCCCCCTCTCTCTCTCTGTGTGTGTGTGTGTGTGTGTGTGTGTGTGTGTGTGTGTGTGTGTGTGTGTTTGGGAAGAGGTTGGGAGTCAAAGGAAGGAGCAGTTGAGCAAGTAAGTGACACTTTGGGATTCAAGGAAAGAGACTTAGCAGCTAGGATTGGAATGATATTTTCCCTCTCTGGGCAATGTCTGAGATATTGGGGTAACTGGCTTTGTTTCTGACTCGGGTAGAGGCTTCCATTTTCCCTATGTGCCACCTACCTGTGCCTGTGTGACTTGTGTGTGCTGGAAGCAGCTGACCCAGGATGGGTGGGAGCAAAAAAAAAAAAAAAAAAAAAAAAAAAAACCACTTGACCCTTTCCTGATGCCCCCTGAGCACTTTTGCTCCCAGGATGCCTCTGGCAGCACCCCAGGCCTCTTCCAGAGGGAGTTCCCCATGGTCCAGGACAGTCCTTTCCCTTTCCCATAAGTTTTCTGAGCTGTTTTCCTCTCAGGCCCAATGCTGCCACCAGAGATTTTGCTTCTTAGGAAAAGGGAGTAGATCTGTTGACCTGCAGGAGTCTTTTCTAGGGTATAGGGTTAGGCAGTGTGACCTGGGGCCGTTTCTGCTAAGGAGGGTGTGGGCTTCTCAGGGCACTAGATGACAGCCATGCATATGACCCTGCATATGTCTGCACACTAGGACAGGTGGGAACGTTTTCCAGAATTAGGAGAACTGGAACACATGTACTTCCCCACTGCACATGCAGTAAATGTCACAGATGGCGCCAGTCTGGCCCTGTCCCCGTACGTTTCTCCCTTTTAATGCAACTCTCCTCTGTGGTCTCTGCCCTGAGCTATGGGCTCCTGCATGGCCTGCATGACCTCAGGTCCCTACGGACAAGGCCGTGCATGACTTTGGAGCTATGTGGCTGTTGCTCAATCCAACTTTGTAAGCATGAGCTTAGGTTTCTCCTTAATATCCCTTTATGAAGAAGCCAAGTTTTTTACAAAAGCACAAAGGCAAGTAACCCTTTGAAAATTAAAAGCTAAGAAAATCTAAGCCTTGAACTAAAAACATGTCTTTCTTCACCTGCCTGTCACATCTTTTATACCAGGCTTGGTTTGAATAAGAGTTGGTCATTTTCTTTCTTGTTCCCAAGTGACATCAGTGTCCACCCCTGAGGTGTCTTGACCCTTCGCTGTGGATTGTGAGAGCCACTTCCTTGGAGTCTTTCTAGAGCCAGGCACCAGAACCAGAGGCCTACACAGGCCCCATTCAGATCCTTCTGTCCCTCAACTCTGCCCTGGAAACAGAAGGGGCCGAGTTCCAATTCTGCTGGTTCAGCTGCCCCACAGACTTCCTCTCTGTACTTCATCTTTTTTTCCACACCACAGCTGCTTCGTAGGTTCCAGAAAACTGGCCCTGAGGGCTGGAGAGATGGTTCAATGGTTAAGAGCTCTTCCAGACAAAGCTCCTGAGATGCAGTTCCCAGCGATCACGTAGTGGCTACAGTCATCTATAATGGGATCTGATGCCCTTTTGTGACATGCAGATGTACATGCAGATAGAACACAATATACATAAAATAAATAGAAAGCTGGCCACTTGTATGCCCTCTTCTTGGTGAGTTGACAGGGAATGGAATCTGATCCTGGCCAAGTATGCCTCAGAGTCAGGAAGTCTAGGTGGTGGTCCCAGGAGTGCCTGCCAGCCCATCACAAGGCTGGGAAGAGAGGCAAAAGTGGAGTGTGTGGGAGCTGGAGAGGAACCTGGAGCCTCGTGCGACTCTTGCTACCACATCCTCTGGTGTCTGATAGCCCGGTCTCATGCCCTGTTCTGTTCACCTTCTCTGTTGTAAATGGAGTCAAAAGGAGCCAGCAAACTCACTAAGGCCAACTGGTGCCCACCCCTCACCACCACACCACACCAAAGCACCCAGGGCTCTGGTTTCATAGGCCAGAGCTAGAGGGTTTTATCCAATAGGTGTGAGTGTGTTTGAGGCTCACAAGTTAATTTGGTTGATCATAAACAAGAAGGGGATTAACAGAAAATACCTTCAATCCAGGAACAGCTGCAGTATCCCCTGTTCTGAGCCTGTTTCCTCTTCACTTCAAAGACTAGACATAAATGGTTTTACGACTCTGCAATGGCCTCATAAGAAAACCTAAAAATGTCCTGTGTCCAGGCCCTGACCTATACACAAAGCAGGGGATCATGGTCCTCCGACCCAGGAATCTGGCCAGAGCAGCCACATCCTGTGCACAGACTGTTCCTGGTCCTACAGGACACAGGTCTACTGGAGTAGGATTTGGAAACCCCTAAAGTTCCTCCAGACTGTGAGGGAGGGAATGCGCTGGGCTATGGTGCTTCCAGTTGCCCTGCTATTGTCTTAGGCCTCCCAACCTGCTGCAGAAAATGCTGCTGAGAAGTAAGTGGCTGGCTGCTTGGTTGCCTGGGGGAAAGGGAAGGCCTGGGCTGTGGGTCTGAATGTCTGTTTAAAGGCAGGCTTGGAGGTGGGGGAGGGTCATGTCAGGCAGGCTGTGTCTGCTTCCCTTGACCTCTGGCAATTATAGTGAGCTGAAACAGGGTCCTGTCCTCTGGAATCTGGGGGCAAGGTCCACGGAAAACTGTTACTTCTATTTCTTTAATAGCAAAGGTCTGATGTCTATGGTTCTATAACCCAAGCTGGATTAGATCCAAAGACCGCAGAAGGGGAATCTTGGGAGGTTTTATTCTTGATCCTGGCAACCTGGGAGAGTGATGAGGAGGAGCTAAGGGATAGAGGGAAAATCTTCATGGCTCCATTGACTGCCCTCTGGCACCAGCATGGCTCCTTCAGGGGGTATAGGGTCTCCTCAGCCCAGTGCTTGCCTTTTTTTTTTTTGAGGGGGGGGCAGTGTTTCCAGACAGGGTTTCTCTGTAACAGCACTGGCTGTCCTGGAACTCTCTGTAAACCAGGCTTGGCCTTGGGAACTCAGATCTGCCTGCTGAGTGCTAGGGTTAAAGATGTGCACTGCAATCACTCGACTTCCTTGCCGGTTTTGGACTCCTCATGATTGTGGATTTCGGTATATGGAGTATGAAACTGAACATCCACAGATGCTGCAGCCCCATCCATTTCAATGTATCTGGGTTCTTTTAAACCTTCATGACCATGTGCCTATGTCTATGCATGTGTTTAATGTAGTTTGTAGTTGCCAACGTTGTGTATATAATAGCCCACTTATTTATATGTGGGTACAGAATTGGCACCTGTGGAAGTTTCCTGTATTTTAAACTTGTTGAATCAAATTAGTTTTCCTTCCATGGAGGTGGTGGGTGTTGGAAGGACTATTTCACAGTCATTCTTTAGCACTATTAGTCATGGTTTCCCAATGAGCCTTCACGATGCCCTTTTGAAATAAATGTTAATGTTGTCACCATATGGCCGGCTGCTTGAATTCTTAAGAGATAATGGCTGGGGCGTTTTGTTTTGTCTTAGATGAAATCGGAATCTGAAAATACCAACAGTGTGCCATTGGAATTTCGCCACCCCCACTGTCCTTTGTTGCACCTGGTTCTAATGAAGGAGAGAGTGAGGTGTTACAGAGATGGGATCCCCTCCTGGGAGCATCCTCAGGAGGGCGCCCAGGCCATCCACTGTTAGCTCATTTCCCACGGCCCACATTCTCGGGAGAGCTTAATCAGTATCTGACTCTCCTCACTCCAGGACTTCAGGGCTCATCATGTTTTTGTGAACTCCTATCAAATATAAGGGGTAATGAACAAATACACCAGGCTTTGACGTGTGTGGCCCATGGATGTCTAAGTGGCAGGTATGTGTTCATCCCCTGTAATTGTAACCATGGGGCTGGAAAACTGACCACAAGGAGACAGAAGCAATATAACACAAGTCTGCAGAGCTTGGAATTTCTCCAAGAGGACAAAACAGACACACAGCAAGTAACCTGCCATCCTAGCTGGACAGCATGCCCTCTAGCACAGAAGGGGCTGATTACAGAAGCTCTGAAAATGAACAGGGCCACTGGATGACAGCATGACTGGCTTAATAGAGGTGGTCTTGAGCCTAGGCTTGCATTGAAAGAGGCACGATTCTGAGAAGGGCAAAGGAGGCGCTAGGGATGGGGTCCAGGCAGTGAAGAACCGAAGGCTAACATTGAGACCAACAGTCGGGAAACAGGAGCTAAAAAGCTTGGTAGGAGAGTGAGCATGGATGGCTGACGTGGGCTCTACATACTTTGCAACAGATGGGAAACTGGGATGTAGGGGACACGGTTTTGGTTGGTGGACCAGAAACTATGAGACCAACAAGCTCTTTTTAAATATATGAATGCATGTGAATAACTTGTACAGGCAGGAGAGCTACTGGAGGCCAGTTGGTTAATGCACTGGGATAGTGGTGGCTTTCAGAGAGAACTAGAGAATGAAGGGCTGAAGTTGGACAGAAACATGGAGAGCTGGGTAGACACGGCAAGGTAGGAAACCAAAGCCCTCAAGACTTGAGCCCGAGGGACAGTGTGCATCTATCTCCATGGTGTGTACAGATCATGAGCCTTGAGTATATATGAATAGCCAAATTGGGGCCAGGCTCAAAGCTAGGCAGCCATCCTAGGACAGAGAACAACTCTGAGCCCTCCAAACTATCTGCCTCCCTCATCCTCCATCCCTGAGTCATTTGCTGGGGCAAGTGGGTGGAGATATATATATATATATATATATATATATATATATATATATATATATATATATATATATAATTTTACACTACCAGCTGGTCACATGGTAGTGTCATTGGATGGCTGTATGTTCTGACTTTATTCACGCGGTCTACATTGAAGGTCAGAGCCACCTGTGAAATCTGAAAGGTTTTATTTCCTAACTACGGGCAGCTCTAGGAGGCTTGAGGTCTGCGGCGAGTGGCTCGCCCATGCAGGGAGGGGGCTTGGGGTGAGAAGTCCCTGCGCCCTCACTGGCCCTTCTTGTGAGCGTTCTTGACGATGGCGTTCTTAAAGAGTGTCACCAGGGGCGTTTGGCTCTTCTCGGAGGTCATGAAGCCGCCATAGCGCTTGTCCTTGGGCGGGCTGCCCCAGCGGAAGCGCTCCATCCGATAGGGCCCGTCTTCCTTCTCGGCCTCGGCGCCGGGCTCCAGGATGTGCTCCAAGCCGTCGGGCTGCTCGCCTGCCACCTCCCTCCTGAACTCCAGAGGAAAGGCCTCTGCCGACTCGTTCTCGGCCACGCTGGGGTACACCTTCACTGGGCGTCGCTTCTTGCCCACTGGCTTGCCCCAGCGGAAGTGCTCCATGGAGTAGGAGCGCTTGCCCTCGCGCAGGCCGAGCTCAGAGCGAGCATCTTCCACCGCCACTGCATCCTCCTCCTCCGCGCGCCTCTGCGCCGCGCCGCTGCTGTTCCTAGGGCCGAAGCGGTCCCAGCGGAAGTGGCCCATGACGTACTTCCGGGGGTTCTCAGTCAGTGTCTGGTCGTCTCCGTTGCCTGGGAACACGGGCGTCTCGGCAGAAAGGTCAGGTTTGCAAGCCCGGATGCAAGCCTGTGGAAGAGCCTGATGCATGAGCCAGACCAGGCCCTGGGCCACGGTCCCCTGCCCTGGGCTCGGAGCCACTTCGGGCCTCGAGACCTTTGTGCCAGCACATGGACATCTGCACTTGGGTTCCTCAGGCCCCACCAACATCTTGCACAAAGCTATTCTTGCCCTTGCATGATTCTGCCTAGACTGCAGCAAGCACCCCATCCACCATTCTTTGCTTGTCTTTCTCAGCTCTTACTATCAGGGTCTTGCTATTATATGCACCAAAAGAGGGTGTTGTCACTTAATGATGGCAAAGTGGGGCTCCATTTAAGTACAGGAGAGGCATGGGACTGGAATTTGGGAGAGAATCTTTCCTGGTGACAGATGTCTGACTTCTGGGGGCCGAATTTTCAACAATGTGTCAAATCTTACCCCAGTAATCTACAGTTTCATGACTACCGCTGCCCAGTGCGCGTACACACACACACACACACACACACACACACACACCTGCTTGTCTCAGAACTTCCCTGCATCCATCAGGTCCTTTACTCTGTGCATTGATCTTGTATCGCCTCAATCAGAATTCTGAGACAAGTTCATTTCTCTGCCACCTCATTCTGACTGGAAGGAAGGTTGGAAGATCGGGGTATTTCTCCCTCTGCACACTGGCCCTAAAGGATTTCACTAGGGAGTTTTTTAGAGGTTTTCTGTTGTTTTGTTTTTTGATCCTTGGAAGATGCTGAGGAGAAAACAGAAGGGCCCCAGCCACTCTCCCCAGTTGAGGGTTTCCACACCAGGGATTCAGGGTTATAATACTGCAGAACACTAATGATGGGTGGTAAAAGCCATGTAATTTAAGTACCTTTTCCCCAGGACAAATAATGAAATTGGGGGTGGGAGGGAGAAAGAGGAAAAAGATCTAGTCAAGGTGCTCCAGCTCATTGGTATCAGGTGGGAACAGACCTATGGACTCTGACCTTGTTTAGCATCCCCCCCCCTTTTCTGGTGATATCTCCTCAGGGAATGCTATGCAATGTGTGTCTCAAATCAAGTCTTAGGTTTTTGTGGATTGACCTCCCAAGGAGTTCCTTGGGCTTGCCTAGTCTAAAACACATTGTATATGAACCTTGTTCTTATGTCTTGGAGATGTCTCCCCAATCACCTAGCCTCAACTGTCTACTGATACAACAAACAGGATGTAGAGTAACAGACATGCAGGCACCTGGAACTTGTGTGCACACATGCATATGTACACCCTGTGGTAACCTGGAAGGAGCTCCAGCCTCTCCCAGAGGGCTTTTACATTTTTTTTCTGGGAAAGACTGGAAAGGAACTTGGCAGGAAGCCTGCCTTCTAGAAGCAGCATGAGATATTTGGCATCAATTACACACACACACACACACACACACACACACACACACACAAAGGGGAAAAAAAGCACTTTGGTTTTCCCTTCTCCCTCTGGAGATGTATGAAAATACCTAACCAGTAATGGCTTTGTAACTGGGAGGGAATAAAGAAACAGGAAGCGAAATTGTAAATTTTCACTATCTAAAGGGGAGCTAATTTGGGTTATAGGGTTGAAGATACAGGATCAATTAAGGGGGCAACCATGGTTATGGCACTATCTAAACTGAGCATATGGTAAAGAGTTGTCGGAGTGGGGAGTGAGGTTAATAGAGTAGAAATCGTAGATCTGATCCCTTTTCTCTGAAGCCACCTCCTCCCTCCCTTTGCCTAATTCCAACCTTACAGGAAAAGTTCTGGTGCTGCTTCTGGATCACTGCAATCAATGCAGATGCATTTCCCTACCCCCACACTGCTCTTCCTTTTGAGCTGTCCTAAGCCCACTGTCATCCTCTACCCAAATGGAGTTGGTGTCCATGGTCCACATACCAGCAAGTTGCTTTCCGTGGTGAGGTCCTGACACTCTCTGCTCTCCAGGCACCAGCCCCACACTTCCATGGAAGTCTGAAGCAACAAGGCCAGCAGCAGGGCCCCTGAAAGACTGTAGCAGGATCTCGGCATCTTCCAGGTGACAGGCTGAGGCTCTGCAGAGGCAAACAAGATTGGTGGGACCCTGCAAGGAGCAGAACAATGTTGGCTAGTCACCAGGAAGGACTTCAGGCCAACACTAACAGCTCTCACTGGCACAGGCCAAGGCTTTCTGAGGACAGCATTGCTCAGATGTTGGAAGATACGCACAAGGCTATCGTGAGAGGGATGAGAGAAGAGCTCAACCAGCTGGGGGCAGTTTCCCCCTGTATTTCCTGTTAAAAGCCAGACCCTTAAATACATTAGAAATTAAAGATGGGGCTGTTTAGGAGACTACATGACCCACTCCTTCATCTGAGATGTGAGAACACTAAAGCCCAACAAAAATTATTTGCATTCATGATGAAGTAAAGATAAGGTCTTCTGCATTCCCAGAGTGCCTTCTAAGTTTACAGCCTCAAGCTACAGTTCAACACTCCATCTCCAGTGACTGGGAGTAAAAAAAAACAAAAAACAAAAAACAAACAAACAAACAAAACAACACTATTAGGACACTCCTGGTCTGGGTCTGGATCCTGTCCCCTAAACTTTGATCATTTCCCATGCATGTGAGATGTAAATACAGGCAAATAAAACCAGTTTATTTAGTCCAGGTCTCAGGCAACTAGTTTGTTGTCCTATACACAGATCGCCTGGTGATTGCCATTTATCTCCAAGACATTTTTTTCCTGTACTTTTTTTTGGGGGGGGGGTGTTTCAAGAAGGGTTTCTCTGTGTAGCTCCTGGCTATTCTGAAGTTAAGTTCTGTAGACCAGGCTGGCCTCAAACTCACTGAGAACCACCTGCCTCTGCCTCCTGAAGTGCTGTGCAATTCTTCAGAAGCTGGTTTTCCAGCAGGCTTAAGGGCTTTATTATTATAATTATTATTATTATTATTATTTTATTAATCATCATTTCTTTTCCAGAACAACCATTAGTGGGCTTTCACCACCATTGAGCTGTGTGGGCCACACCTCAGTCCAAAAGCAACCTTGGTTAGCCTTTCTGTTCAGGCTCAGACAGGCAGCCAATTAGCCCAAAACATTGCGTTCACAGATGCCTCCCAGAAAAATGGTAAATAGCACGAAAACATGGTAGCAAAGAAAAAGACGATTACAGATTACACAATCCTGATAGTTCTCTCAAGTAAGTTTTAATTGTCCTCAAAGCTAGATGACTGTGGGATGAGATTTATCTTTGAAGTAGACATAGTCGAGATTTCAGGCCTGCCCTCTCCTGCTAGCCCACCGGATATGAGCTGAAATTCTCACACCCCACTCCCACCCAGCTCCTCTGGAAGCTCCTAGCTAGATGGCTCCAGAAAGCAACTTGCTATTTTTTTCTTATGTGTATTTCTGTTTTCTCCCCTTTCTCACAGAGAAATAAATGTCTTACTTGTATCATATTTTTGAGAAAATAAAAGTAGTGGGGGAAATGTCTAATGTTGTGCTACTCATAAATAGAGAGTGTAGGATTCCAGTCATTAAACCCTGGAAGATAAAAAATGATTTATTCATTTTGACAGAACTACACCTATTAGGACCCCATAAAACATGGGACTTCTCTGAACTCAGGAGAGCCTTATATTTACTCCTCTCCAAGTGACATCGACATAGCCCTCTATTTATAAGCCTGAGAGGCATGAATATGGAGTTTCACCCATACACAATGCATGTACCCCAACTTCTATAATACTCAAAGGAAACAAGCCATTGAATTAGTCATAACCTGCACATACTTCACAAATTGAGAAACACAAGCATACTACTTATTTCATTTTGCTTGACCCCTCCCAGCCATCCTGTGAAAACATCCCCTGCTTTTTTTACACGTGAAGAATTTGGGGATCTGTCCCTCTGTTTGAAATATCTTTTGCCTGAGCATGGATTCTTTCAAATGACTATAGCGTGGTGCAGCATTTTGAGGGCTTCCGAAACTAGACAGCGTGGTTCAGAACCTCGGACAGTTCCCTCCCCACTGGGTTTAACCCGGGCTGCTGCTTGGAGAGAATGCCTCCTGTACCCACACAGTTACCCCAATGCAACCACATTAGAGCCGCTAAAATGCACAGGGAAACGAGATTTAAGGTCTGCAATAGCAACAACCAAAGAAGTCCACTATTAGGAGCTTATTGTGACTCGATCTTTTCTCCCATTATCTTTCCAATGTATATAATATTTAGTGTATATATACACAAGTCCGAACAATTGGGAAGATCTCCTCAGGGGCTGGTCAGAGTCTAAAACTATCCTAAGCGTCCCAACGCTCCATTCATCCTTGCAGACTCCGGGACCACCCCTTTCCCTCGACGGCAGTGATCCCCAGAATCTCCAAACCACTGTTCTCTGGAGGGTTGTACCCTGTCATCCCATGTACCGGCTCAGCTCCTTCTCAGAAAGTTTGCCAAGAGAGCTCAGCAGGTCCGCGATGAGCCAGAGCCGCCAACCTGCATTCCCTCCTGCGGAGCATCCCAAGGCCCAGCCAGTTGCAGAGCTCAGTGTAGGAAAGCTGTTCCGAGCTGTGGCACTCTTACCTGTCTCCGAAAGGCAGCTCTCCGGGGACCAAGGTGTTTGGTGGCCTCTCGGTCACTGCTCTTTAACCTCCTTCTCCTCCTTCGCCGCCGGCCCGTTTGGTCCCTGTCGCTCTCCTCCCCTCCTTTTATACTGGCGGGGCTGGGTGGGTGAGCGTTGGACGTGACCTTCCTGGCAGCACTTCTCCAGCGCAACAGGCGAATCCGGGGCCATGCGAAGGGGGGCAGCGGGGGCTCGGGAGGGGGGCTTCCCGGTCGGGTTTGAGCTCAGGGCTGATGTGCCTGGAAAGTGAGGAGGATGGCATTAGCATAGACCCGCTGAAGTGCACACCTGGCGGCTGGTGGTCAGGAAGAACTTAATTAAGGATGGTGTTGGATCTCCATTTAGGACAGGGCAGAGGTTTAGTATCCTGGTGTGAGGCCGGCCTAACTCTGAGGTCATGCGGATCCGAGTGAAATTACCTGTGTGCGTCCATCTGCCTTCCTGGTATTTGGAAGTAAATATCATTAATGAGGAGCTATGCTTCAGATTTCTCCAATGTTGGGAAAGTGTGATGACCTTGTGGAATCAAAAGCTACCTGTTCCATTCTGGAAAGGGAGATGATAGGCTGTCAGGAGTCATCCAAGGCAGCCCAAGTCTTGAGGCTGGGAAGGGTGCAAGAGAGTTGGACAGCTTGCCTGGGTCCCCAAGGCCTAGGCCAGGACAGGTGCACTTTTGTGCCCAACTCGAAGGGAAACTCCCAGCTTCAGACTATTAGCCAGAAGGTTCAGTGTTCTAGGGAGGGTAGCTGAAGTAGGTTCTTCTTTGGAGTGAGAGCTGGCTGAATGGTCTGGGGACTGTGGGATAGACTTCACCATGTGTCCAGGCCCATGCATCATGGTTTGGCTGTAAACTCTTACAGGCCTGGTCCAGAAGACAGAAAGACCTGCAGTAGCATCTACCTGAGCCTGCACAAAGAGCAAAGCAAACTTGTGAGGAGAGGTGTGGCTGGTGGGGGGGGAGGGAGGAGGGACACACTAGGACTGGGTCAGACTTCTTCAATGGGGTGGCCGCTTAATCTGCCAAATGAAGGAAGTTTTGGACTCCAGAACTCCCTTGAAAATTCAGCTTTTCTGATGGGCAGCATTGACTTTGCATCCAAAAATCTTTTCCTTTTGTTCCACAAGACAGCACTGAGCTCCCTAACAATAAACAAGGTGTATGACACCTAGCTTTGGCCTCTTCCCAGGTTATATTACTTGCTGTCCATCTTGTATCCTGGACCTCACCTACCAACATTCATCCTCCTGCATCTTTCTGCATCTACTTCAAGTGCTCCCTGCAAGCTAAGCACCCTCTCTCCCTCCGGGGAGCCAACTCACATTAATATTAAGAGCTAGCTCTTCTCCACCTGCCACCTATTAACCCCTCTTGACTATTGTTTCTACCAGGAGCTTGAGGGAGAAAACCCAGGAGAAGGGGGAAAGTTATTGTTGCTAATGAGAAAAGCAAGTACACTACGTCTTAAGCAGACCAGAGATGGAATCCAGAAAATTAAGCTGATCCTTGCACACAGTTGGGGTGGTGTAGGGGCCTCCCTCTGCTATAATAACAGGGTAAATGAGAGGGGGAGGAGGAGAAGAGATATAAGATACAAGTAGGCTGGTAGGATGAACCACAAGAAGATAGGCTTTTCTATATATTAAGTCTTTAATCTTGTGACCCAGATTTACCTAAGATTTATCCCAATAAAACTGGCTAGCAGTTATACTAAGTTTTCTTCAAGACTATTCCTATATCCAGTTATAGCAACAATAAAATAAAATCCAGCGCTAAAGATGCGGTTATAAGAATGATAGTGAAGTCATACAGTAGAATATGCTGTGACTATTTAAAATAACAATGGGGGGGCTGGAAAGATGTATGGCAAGAGCATGTACTGTTCTTGCAGGGACTCGAGTTAGGCAGCACCCATATGGAGCAGCACATAACTGACTGCCTGTAACTCCAGCTCCAAGGGAGCCAATGCTCCTGGCCTCCATAAATACCTGTACTCATGTGCACACATGGAGACACACACACATCATTAAAAGTTATAAGAAATTTTTTAAAACGTGGCTATTCCTCACTCAACATAAAAATAATCATTGTACATTAATTGGGGGAATAAAGAAGATAGAATAGGTGACTGTGTGGATAGAAGCAGAGACAATGGTGGAAATGTACCGGGTATTAATGAAGGTTGCTCTGGTTATCCAGGCGAGTTAAATGGCTTGAAGCTACAGAATTTAATTTGCTCAGTATCTGCATGTTAGTAGGGTTTAGCAGGGCCATCAGGTCCCTGGCTCCACCATGAGGCAGCTTGGAGCCTAAGCTCTATAGCTCCTGAAGCTGTTTATTCACAGCTCTGGCTCCCGGGCTGAGAAGGCTCAAATCACAGGCAAGTGAGGGGGGCAGACAGGAAGTGTTAGAGCTCCTGGGATTCCCCCCTCTTTCCATCTCTGTGGAACTTTGGCAGGGGTTTCTCAGTAGCTGGAGGATGGCTGGGTTTTCAGGTCTAGA